ATGAAGGCTGAAAAATAATGACAGATGGTAGTAGTCCGGAAAGCAGTAACGAGGTGCTGAATTTTCTATGAATAAAGGTGCTCGATGACCAAGGATCCAACCAAAAATTAGAGGGGGAAGAGCATGTGGACAGGGAGTTCAATAACTGTGTGTGCAGGCAATTTAGGTAAGGTGAGGGAAGAAAATTAGAATAAGCCTCAGAAGAGACAGAGAAGTGAAGAGATCGCGCAGGAGTTATTTTCATTTCATTTCATCTCTCCAGTACTTGCCTAATTCTTTTTTTTTTCTTTTTGGAAAAAATGAAATGCGATGCACAGGGGTTACTCCTGGCTCTGCACTCAGGAATTACTCCTGGCTGTGCTCAGGGGGACCATAAGGGATGCTGGGAATCGAACCCGGGTCGGCCACATGCAAGGCAAACGCCCTACCCGCTATACTATCACTCCAGCCCCTGACTAGTTCTTTTCTTATTCAGTTGAGTTCAAAGATTGATAGAAAGGGCTGGAGAGATAGTCCAGCAGGTAAGGGACTTGCCATGCATGCTGCTGACCTGGATTTGATCCCCAGCCACTTCCCAGGGGTGATTCCTGTGTGCAGAGCCAGGAGTAAGCCCTGAGCACTGCCAGGTGTGGTCCCCAAGAAACTCCCAAAATAGTAGAAGATGAGGATCTGAAAACCAGAGATAAGCCAGATCTTGGCTTTTATCTTCAAAGTAAGGTGTGTGCATCAAGCTCTCTGCTGGGGAGAGTGGGAGCGAAAAGCAGAAAAGTGGTTTTAGACACAACTGCTGCTCTTGTTGAAGCCACACCCTTCTGGTGGTCTCTCCTTCTGGTGGTCCCTAACGTACCTATAATACTGTCATTCCTAGCCTTGGCTGCTCTTGGAAATCACCTGGGAATATCTTTAAAAATATATGTATATTGAGCCCCACCCCCAGAGGTTCTGATTTAATTGGGCTAAGATGCCACAGACTGGGCTTGGGGATTTTTAAATGCTCCCCAGATGACTCTAATGTGTAGTCAGGAGTTAAAATTATTGCTCCAAGGAATGCCCAGAGCTCTGATTAGAAACCCATTGCTTCAACCTTATCCCAGTAGGAGAAAGATTTTTCCTTGCTGAAGCAAGGGGTGAACTGACCCGTGCCTTTAGGCATAAGTAAATTTTGACCATATGTGAATGGTATTGGTGTGTTGCAGGGAGGTGTGTGTATGTGTGTGTGTGTGTGTGTGTGTGTGTGTGTGTATGTGTGTGTGTGTGTAGGGGGTGAGGGGGGAAGATGTCGAGGTTGAAGAGAACATCTTGAGAAAAAGCTTAGCTGCAGCCTGAAATACAAGCTGCTAACAATCTGGTATTTAACAGAGGACAAAGAGGTCTAAGATTTGAGAACAACTGGGCACTGACCAGGGGGTAGAACTGGTGACTAATTCCACTTGGCTGGATATTAGATTTAAGAAGAATGGGTGAGGGGCTGGAGCAATAGCACAGCAGGTAGGGCATTTGCCTTGCACACTGCCGACCCACGTTCGATTCCCAGCATCCCATATGGTCCCCTGAACACCGCCAGGAGTGATTCCTGAGTGCAAAGCCAGGAGTAACCCCTGAGCATCGCCGGGTGTGACCCAAAATGCAAAAATAATAATAATAATAATAATAATAATAATAATAAAATGACTGGGTGATCTGCTTAGTTTAGGGGCCGTATCCTGCAGTGCTCAGGGACCAAGACTGGTGGTGCTGGGAGACCATATACAGTGCCAAGATTAAAACCAACTGAAACATAAGCACGAAAGTTTCTAAATCTGTAACTGTACCTCATGGTGATTCATTAAAAAATATAAAAAATTAAAAATGAAAAAATATTAAAACCAATACGTCACAGCCACAGATGCATTCCAGGCAAGCTCCTTGACCTCTGTATTGCTTTAGCACTCAAACACTGAATGACTTTAAATTATGAAAGGGATTGAGGGCCAGATTTCAAATTTATAAATGATTGAGTTAGCAATAGGGAATCTTGAAGAGCTTTTATGCAGTGGTATTTTTTTGTTTGTTTTTGTTTTGGGGTCTTCATCAGCAATGCTCTGGGATCACTCCTGGTGGGCTTGGGGGACCAAATGAGATGTCTGAATTGAACTTGGGTTGGCCGCATGCAAGGCAAACACTCTACCCCTTGTACAATTACTCCAGCCACATGTGCAGTACCGTTTTACTTTCATTTATTTTTGAGATGGAAATGACATGGAATGCTTCATGAATTTGTACATCATCCTTATGCAGGGGCTAATCTTCTCTGCTTATTCCAATGTTCATGTGCTTCAGAAGTGAGCACAAGCAGTGTACTAGTTTTATGAAAAGTGTTTTAGGAAGAATTTGACAGCAGTGTCAAGGGAACTTAGAGTCGGGAGAGGAAGCTAGGGAGACCCATTAAGAGAATTGTTGCAATCATCCTAGATGAGGTCATTTATCCAACAAGGGCTGGGGGAAAGTTCAGATTCACAAGATACTGTGAGGGTAGAATTGATTTGATTTGAGACCACACCAAAAGTAAAGGCAAGAGGCAAGGAGAAGAGGCATCAAGTTTTTCAGTTAAGGGTTGTGAGGAAAAGGTGCCATTAAGAGACAGGGACACAGGGTTTCAGTGGCATTTCATTAATTTGATCTGGATCATGCTGAGTTTATAGGACCAGCAGCATGGTCTGGTCCATGTGGCCATGTGCCATAGGTACTGGGAGAATATCTGCAATATAAATATGTAAGTTGGAAAAGTGTTGCAACAAAGTACCATAAATTGAGTGGCTTATAAACAACAGAAATTTATTTCTCACAGGAGGGTTCAGAGAGGCAGAACACTGTGAAAATGCCATTGATTTTGGCTCCTGGTCAACTTCTAGTCATTGAATATTGAGACAGCAACTTCAGAAGAGTAGGGATTTAAGAAAGGGGCTTAAAGAAGTTAAGAAACAATGGTTATGAAAGGAAGATACAGACACATCTCTGACAATAGTACCCCCTAGAAAGAACCCATGATTTCCACACCCCATCTCATGTCCTTCCCACGTCTCCCATTTAGGTGCATCACTTTCCTTGTAGATTATAAATCCCATGAGTTTCAAGGCTCACATCTACTGTCTGAGATATTTCCCCTGTATCCTGCATGGAGCCTGCATACTCTATGAATGCAATGTCTGAATTCAGGATTCGACCCTGTCCTGCATATACAACTGATAATGTCAAGTCCATTGCTTGTGCCCCCTCACCCCTTCGCCTACTTTTGGTTGACCTCAGGGTAGGAGAAGACAACTAGCCACAACTGGACTTGAAAGGTTATTTTCCTTCTTCCTAGAGCTGTGGTCTAAATGGCTGTGTCCTTCCCCACCAAAATCCTCATGTTGAAACCCCACTGTGCAAAGGGGCGACATTCGGAAGTGGGGCTTTTAGGAGAGTAGTGCCCTCATGAGTGGGATTAGTGATGACCCCACAGCCCTTCCTACCAAGTGAAGATACAATACGAAATCTGCACTCAGAAATTATTCTAGGTGGTGCTCAGGGAACCATATGGGATGCTGGGACCAAACCCAGACCGGCCATGTGCAAGGCAAGTGCCCTACCCGCTGCACAATCACTCTGGCCCCAAGAAGGCCGTTATCCTACTGTGTTGGCACCCTGGTTTCTAGCCGCAGGAATTGTGAGACAAACTTCTGCTGTTTATCAGCCAGCAACAGTAATTATATTTAATAACAGGAATGGACTGACAGGGTTCCCACAGCTGTCTGCTCCCTTTGGCTTTCCTCTGCCAGCAACTGCACACCTGTGGGATCTAATCCAAGTTGTCTATCACTTCCCATCCCCAGGCCCTGGCAGGGAGAGCTGGAATTTTTCTCCTCTCCCTCCACCCTATTTCAACTCAACTTCTTTGGAATGGTCTGCTGTCTCTTATCAATTCTCCTTCTCTGTAGCCCTAGATAATTCCCGTTTAGTTGACTAGAAAGTGCGTATCAGGGAAAGAAACGGGCCCTAAAATCCTCCCATTAGCATTCCTAGGGAGCTTACCTTCCCCCTCTCCCATATTTGTCTCTTAGTGGCCTGGGATTCTGTCTCCTCCCACTTTTGTCTACGGTGATATTCTTGATCTTCTCTGAAGTGGGAGATGAGGAGAGGTAAAATACTGAACCAAAAGAACAGGGTAGTTGCAAGGCTGCAGTCTTCAAGAACTGGAACCTCGTTTCTTAAATATCGTCGTTCGGAAATTCGCACGCGCACTCACTCACTCGTTCATAGGCCAGAACTCTGTGGGCACTACCCGGCCGCCTCCCCCGCCCCCTCGCCAACATGGGTTCTTTCCCCCGGGTTCCCGCCTGCCGGGCTAGACCCGGGTCGGGATAGGGGTGCATATTTACAGAAAACCCAGACGTTGTTTTCATCCCAAAGTGAAGGGAACCCCCCCAAACTCAGTCCAATCCCCGGCCCCTCTACCCTCCCCCACCACCGCAAAGTAGAAGTTCTGGGATTAGCAAGAAAATAGGCGGAGACCAGGGTGGAAGAGACAGGAAACCGCGTTGGCAAAACAAAACGTAAGAGAATGGGGGCTCGGTCGGAGAGACAGGAGCAAAAGGGGAGTCTGCCGGAGTCTGCCGGTTTGGGAGTGAGGTTTGATACCTCTGACCCAATCACCGGACTGTAGAACCCCGCCGGGAAGAAAAGAGGGCGGAGCCTGCCGACCTGGGGGCGGGGTTGTCAGCGGCGGGGCGGGGCCTGAGGAGGAGGCGGGGCTTCGGGAGACGGTCACTAGGCAGGGGCGCGGACTCGGGGAGCTCGGCGGGGCTTGCTGCACATGGGGAAGACGGGGGGCCCGGAACTAGCGCGGACCTAGACTGCGGCGGGCGTTTCGGGGAGCGGCGTCCGTGGGACTGTGGGTTTGGGGGGCGTTGTTGAGGAACTGTTTCTGGAGCGCACCCGCCAGCCTCGAGGTTCCGAGGAGGTCTAGTTTAGGATGCATCGAAGACCCGTCGCCCGGGTGGCGGGTGTGCAGGGCGCCCTTCGGAGTGTCACTGTGACCGCGGAACGCGCTGGGGAGATCGGGGGGCGCAGGGCGGGGCCGGGCCAGGGACGTCCTTACGGGTCCCAGTAGTTCTCGTGGTGCTGCGCGGCAATGATGATGACCACGGTGAGGATGGTACAGAGCACCATGGCTGCGATGCCCACGGCCAGGGAGATGAAGGAGAAGTTCCGGGCCTCGCGGGAAGCGATCTCGGCGGACACCATGTCCCCGCGGGCCAGCGCTGTGCGCACCTGCGGTGGAGTGGGGTGGGAAAGGGGTCAGAGAACGCTGCCTGGCTGGTTCATCCTAAGATGCTCCCTTGGGACCTCCAGCACTCCCCCGGGATTAGAGACCCAGACCGAGACCCCTCCGTCGCCGTCCTCCCACCTGCACTGCCTTGAAGATGGCGATGATGCCTGTGGGCCAGAAGCAGCAGATGGTGGTCAGCACTGCGATGGGCATGTAGTCGTGCGGCGGGCGCCTGGGTTCCAGCAGGGCCAGTCCTGGGCCCTGGGGCGGTGGGGACAGCGTGGAGGTGACGCCTGTGCCCCCTGGAGTCCCTCCCGCATAGGGCTGTGGAAGGAAGGTTGGGAGCAGAGGCTTGTCACTCCCAAGCTCTCAAGTTCTATTCTGCCCAGCAGTTTTTAAAGCCCAGTTCTTAAGCATCGCATCTCAAAGAACTTCCTAGTCCAGTGCCCTCCTGCACCCCCCCACCCCCCGAGGTCCACTTCGCTCCCTCCCTTCACTGCAGTCTGAGCCCTGTATCCAAGGGGCTCTCACATTCCCCTCCCATCAGTGCTGCCTTGGCTGGCCTGATTTCAAGACCTTGTTCCTTTCCCCCAGATCCTCTGTCCTGCCCAACTCAGGCCCAGGTCGGCTTGGGGGCTAGATTTCATTTCTCCCCAGCCCTCCTTTGAAACCCTCTGGGGATTAACCTCCACTCCCTCCAGTGTCCAGGTCCGGGACCCCCTGCTAGAGCAGACCCACCCCAGTCTCAGACTGTCCGCTTGTACTTTCTCCCTAGGCCTTCCCCCTCGCCACCCCCGCCCGCTTGAATGTCCCGATTTCCCCATCCCACCAGACCTCAGTGTGTCCCCGATTTCAGGTCTTGCTCCACCATGCCCCCCACGTCCCAGCCTGACCCTCCCCCCCTCCCCTTTCCCCAGTCTGCGGGGGTTACTCACCGCGCTCACAGGGTAGACAGGCAAGTAGGCAGTGCAAGGCTGCAGCTGTAAGGGGTAGCCCGGGGCGACGTAGCCCCCCAGCGGCAGCGTGCCCACGGCGCCCGTGTGCGTGGGCACCACGAAGCCGGGCGCCTGGGCCGTGTGAGAGGGCGCCGGCGGGGGCGGGGCGGCAGCGGGCGGCGGTGGGGGCAGAGCGCCCTCGAAGCGAGTCTCCTGCAGGTAAGGGTCGGGTGGCATGCGGGGCAAGGTAGCGCAGCCGGGTGGGGGCGCCCCGGCCGCAGAGCCGGGCGGGGCGTGGTGTGGGGGCCGCGGCAGCGTGGCCGAGGATGAGGGGCCGCGCGGAGCGGTGGTCGCGGAGGAAGCGAGGCCCCCGGCCCCGAGGCGCGGCAGGGTGGCGGTGCCAGACTGGTGGTAGTGGTGGTGGTGGTGGTGGTGCGAGGAGGGGGTTGCCTGGGGCGGTGGGGCGGGGGGCTCGGCTGGGGGCTGGGGGGCATTGTAGGGCGGTGGAGAGGTGTGAGGGACCGAGTCCGCCAGGCCTGGGGGTCGGAGGGCGGGGGGGGGGGTGGAAAGAAACCAGACAGAAAGGATACCAGAAGGTGGGGGGGGGGGGCGGGACAGAGGGTCAGGGATGGAGACGGATAACGGGAGAAACAGAGCAGAAGGGTGAGAAAACATCTCTCTCTGGGGGCAGGAGAGGAGCGTCTAGGCCCCCTGCCCCCTTTCTTCCTTTCAGTCTAGTTTTGAGGTCACAACTCTGCCAGCTGCCGTCTCTTCCTCAGCAACGTGCATTACACTCGCAGCCCCAAACTCCTATCCCTGGGGCTTATGGCCGCCTCTGAGTGTGCGCACATGTGCAGATCGCTGTGCGCGTTGGGTTAACATGTGCTCAATTCAACAGTTGTATAAACACATGTAAGCTATGTTCCACTTTGCTGTTCCTTCAACGAGGAGGGGGTCCCTGACCCCTCTGGAAATTTCAGGGTTTCATTTCAACAGGATCAAGAAGGATCCTGTGGATTTTGCGCCCCGAAACCTCCCTCCCCCCTCCACTGATTATGGCTTCGTATTTCCGCACAGAATGATTCCATACAAGCCAGTGTCACCTGTCCATCTGTCGCTCCCAGGGATGCTGTCCACGCAGTACCTGGCTGATGCTAAGCCACTCTCATACTTCCCTTACCCTCTCAACCTGCCCCTCTGCCTGCGCTGTTGGTAAGAGGCAGAGTCTGAGAGTGGAAGGAGGAAAGGGAGAGAAGGGAATCATATAGAAAGAGGAAGGGGATGGGGGTTGCAGATGTTGAGGAGGATGGAAACAGACCCCTGCTGGGGAGAGCCGAGGGGGGGGCGGTTAGGGCCAAGGGTGGGGGAGCATCCAGAGAACCTGGACCAGTCTGCAGCTGCTGCTGCTGTTGTTTACCTGACTTCTCCGATGACATGCCTGCAGTCTCTCTCTGGGACGGGGTGTCTGCAGCCCGAGTCGCGGTCCTGGGCTGGTGCCGGAGGCTGGGTGCACGGATTGCGCAGCCGGCAGCAGCGCAGAGATGGAGAGATGAAGACAGCCGTGGGGGGTGGAGGGAAGGGGGGGAGCTTAAAGGGACCGAGGCAAGGGAGGGGGAGCGCTTCAGACGTACCCCCTCTTGGACTCTCTCTCTCTCTCTCTCTCTCTCTCTCGATTTGATTTGGACTAGTCTCTCCTCCTCTCACCCTGGCATTCAAGCCCCCAGTTTGGGTTCCCTTGGAGTTGTCATGGAAACGGAGGCAGTAAGACCAGGCAAGGCGGGTGGGACTAAGGGAAAGAAGGGGGGAGAGAACTCTCTCGAGTCTTCCCCACCGAGACTGGTTGTAGTGATATTGTGGGAGGAAGCTAGCAGGTGCTCCGTGGTTTCAACACCCCAGTTCCCTGAGCATATGGTTCACACTCCCCACAAACCCCAGTTTCCCTCGGAGTCCCTGCAAGGTTCCAGGATCTTCTCCCAAATTCTTGGTCCTAGTTCCCCCCACATTAGGAGAGGTGACTATAGATGAAAACTGTGTAGAAGCGAGGAGTTCCTGGCTGCAAAATTCCCAGGCTTATCTTTGGACCTGCCGCCCTGGCCCCCAGGCGATCTGGAAGCTAAGTAGGCAGTTCCTTCTCCAGTACTTGAGGGATACTGGACTGCAGGGGTGAGGTGGGGCGAGGCATTGGACCAAGGCTGGAAGCGTGGGCTTTCTTTCTTTCTTTCTTTCTTTCTTTCTTTCTTTCTTTCTTTCTTTCTTTTCTTAGGGACGTTCTTCCCTCCAGGGTGAAGTTGCTGACACCTTTGGGATGAGAGAATGAATCAGCGGCTCATCTCTTTCAGCACTTGGGGGATTGCATGCTTGATTCCCCTTCCTTTATTGCGCTTCTTAGAGTTCCTGGGCCTGCAGCGTTGAAATCCATTCCTTAAATCCCACCCACCCATCCACCCACCTCCCCATCCGAGACGCAGCACCACCTCCAGAGTCGGCTAGGGGACACAGCGGTAATTGCAGTCTTTTTATTTGGTCTCGGGAGCGCCTAGAAGCGGAGGGGAGGCCTATGGAGACTCACATGAATTGGACCTTTACAAAAAACAGTCGGGGAACCATTACTGCCCGCCCCCACATTCCCCAGTTTCAGACCAGCACTTTCCTGCCCCCGCCTGATGTAGTCATTTCCCGGGGCCCTGGCCTTCCCCTCTCTGCCTGAGTCGGAGAGTCAAGCCAGTCAAGACTTATTCAGAGGCTCTGGCTACCTTTCCCCGTCCTCACCCTACACAAAGCAAGGAGCAATTTAGTTTTGTCTTTCAAGCTTTGTGGGTCTTTGTTTTTCTGTTCTTTTTTTTTTTTGATGGGGGGGTCACACCCGGCAGTGCTCAGGAGTCACTCCTGGCTCCTCACCAGGCATAATTCCAGGAAGTGCTCGGGATGCCGGGTATCAAACCCGGGGCAAACGCCTCAGCCCCAGGCGCAGTACTATCTCTTCAGCCCGTTTGTTTGTGTTTGTTTGTTTCTGGGTCACATCCCTGCAGTTCCCGGGCTACTCCTGGAGAAGTTGAGGCAGGGGGAGGGGCACTCTCGTGTGTCGGGGAATCCAGCCCCGCAGGGCCTCGCGCTGCAGGCAAAGCTTTCAGCCCTTTGATCTCTCGGTTCGAAAAAGACCTGGTGGACAGGGAGGAGTTTACAGACAAACGCAAAATCGTTTCTTTCAGGCGAAAGTCTAAATGCTAAGCTAAAGCCTACAGCAGGCTCGGCGGTGTGGCGGAGAGGTGTGACCCCAAAAGCTCCGAGGATTGGACGCGACGCGGTGAGACAGGAGCCGCCTACTAGGAGCTCGCGGCGGCAGAGGGCCAGGTTGTGGGGTCGCTCAGGTTGACAGACTGGTCGAAGCCACGCGAGCGTGAGTCAGCGCTGCCCCAGGGGCCCTCCGCCCCGTGGGGGTGAGTCGTCTTCGGGGAGCGGAGGAGAATAAGGCCGGAGAAACTGGGCCAGGCTGCACTTGGAGCTCGAGGGTCCTCGAGGCCTCTCCGCCGAGTCTGAAGACTAGGGCCCTACACGCACTTCAGCATCAAGAGTTGTAAGACGCCGACCTGGGGTGCCAGGGCGGGCTGGGACCGGGAATGGGGGTCCCGCTAGGCCGGGGGTCGTCTCTTCGGCGAAAAAGCAGAGGACGTTCTTCCTCCAGTCTAGCCCTAGCACCCCTTGGGGGGAGGGGGAAGTGAAACTTCGCGTTCCACTTGGCGCCACGAGCCAGAATTGGGAAGAGGGGCGAATCCAGGCCGCGAGCCCCGGGCCCTTGGGTCGCGCGTGCATCAGCTGGGCCTGCAGCGGCCGCCTGGAGCTCCCCAGGATCCGTTTCTGGCCCTTGCCTCCCCCCGCCGTGCGAGTGGATCGCTCCGCCGAGCTCCTCCCCCGCTCCCCGCGCGCGGTGGAAAGTTCCATGCCCCCTCCGGCTGCGGCCGGCCTTCGTAGCGGGGGACGCAGGCTCGGTTGCCAGGGAAAGCCCCGGACGTGACGGCTGAGCGCGACCCCGAGCAGCCTCCCCTCTGGCCGTCCGTCATTCCCCAGCGCGCGCTACCCTCGAACCCTGCACCGCGCCCCCCCCCCACGCCCCCAGCCCCCGTGGGTTCCAGGCTAGGGAACAGTAAACAGCAGGCCGGAGCGGGGCTCTCGGACCCTGGCCAGGTGGGAGTTTGCACTCTCCAGGGGCTCTGCGCTGCTGCACGGGGGTCCCTTCTTGCCGAACCCCGCGTGGTGCATGGCTTGGAGTGAAAAAGCTGGGGAGAGCCCAGGCCTGGGCACCCGGTCCCCCCTCGAGCGCGGAGTTGGGGGCGGGGCTCCGGCTGCGCATCGGTGCGTCTGCGTGGTGGGGGTGGCGGTGGAGGTGGCCGAGAAGTAGGTTATTCTGCCGAGGACTTGATGTGGGCGCGGGAAGGAGGCTGGGTCCCGGGGCGGGGGTTGTCCTCGCCCTCACGGGCCCGCATCGTCCCCCTTGCAGGCGGGAGCATGCTGGAGCTGTGGCGGCCGCGGCTCCCCCCGCCGGGGATCCTGCTCCTGCTGCCGGTTCTGCTGCCGCTGCTCCTGCCCGCGGCTCCTGCGTCCCACCGCGCCTCCTACAAGCCGGTCATCGTGGTGCACGGGCTCTTTGACAGCTCGTACAGCTTCCGCCACCTGCTGGAATACATCAACGAGGTCTGGCAGGGGACACCCCGTTGTGGGTTTGAGGTGTCCTCGGGACCGAGGTTGGGGTGAGAGGATGGGGAACTGAAAGCCCCTCCGCTCCTTGGCTCTGCCCGCGTCCTGGCGTTGCTGGCTGGCGCGGGCATGGGGGACGCAGTGGTGACAGCCCTGATTCTAGTGGCGGCCGGCCCCGTGTGCGCGTGTGGTGGAGTCCACCGTTCTTTCCGGTTCTCCCCCCTTCCCACAGACACATCCCGGGACGGTGGTGACAGTGCTGGATCTCTTCGATGGCAGAGAGAGCCTGCGACCCCTGTGGGAGCAGGTGCAAGGGTTCCGAGAGGCTGTGGCCCCCATCATGGCAAAGGCCCCGGAAGGGGTGCATCTGCTCTGCTACTCACAGGGTAGGCGTCCTCCCGTGCCCCCCACCTCCTAAGTCTTTCTGGAGTCTTTTCTAAGGCGTGTAACTGCAGTACTCTCGCCAGGACGCAGCTGACATCCTTGTCTGACATCCCTCAGCACCCAGATCTTCTCTTTGGCTGTGTCCTGAGTGGGAAGGTGCCACTTCTGGCCCCATCACCCGTGGTTTTGAACACCAGGGATAATGGACAGTAAAACTGTGCCCAAGATTTAAGCGTCAGAGACTCAATCTAATTCTGGCTCTGTCTCTTGTGTGACATGTCATCTCTTGCCTGCTTTCTCTGGGTCTCAGTTTCCCTTCTGGACCTATTGGCAGTGTTGGGGAGAGTGGGGAGGTTGTTGGCCAGGCATACCCTGAGTTCCTCCCCGACATATTCTGCCTTCAAGGGGGGCTGGTGTGCCGGGCCCTTCTCTCCGTCATGGATGAGCACAATGTGGATTCTTTCATCTCTCTCTCTTCTCCGCAAATGGGACAGTATGGAGGTGAGTGGGCACTGTGGATTCTGCAGGGGGGCCTTGAGTTATGGGGGGACATAAGGATTCGGGGTCACTTGGCAAAGCTGTTGTTCTCTTGCCAGATACAGACTATCTGAAGTGGCTCTTTCCCACCTCCATGAGGTCCAACCTCTACAGGATCTGCTACAGCCCTTGGGGCCAAGAATTCTCCATCTGCAACTACTGGCATGGTGAGTAGGGGATGCCAAACGGGGATCACTGTGGAAAAGACATCCTGGCAGTGAAAATGATGTTAAATTTATTGACCTCTTGCTCTGTGAATAGGCACTGCTCAAAATGTTTTATATTTATTACCTTATTCCCCTTGCAGTATAGTGTGGTGAAGGGGAAGGTAAACTTTACTCTTGCTTTGTAGTTTTAGGGCTTTACCTGGTGGTTCTCAGTCTCTGCTCTGAGCTCAGTGCTTGGGGATCCTTGCTGGCAGTGCTCGGGACCATGCAGTGCTAGGGATCAGTGACAGGGCTCGAACCCGGGCCTTCTGTATGCAGAGGATGTGCTTCAGCTGCTCGAGCTGTCTCTGTCTTTGTTTTATTCCTGAGGTGCTTGTGTGGGAGAGAAGGGATGGAGAGGTCCACACTAGGCAGTGCCAGGGATCTAACTTGGGGCCTCTGTCCTTTGAGCTAGCTTCCCCAAAACGTTTATCTTTGAAGGTCCAGGTAGTATTTTTGTTCTTTAAGTCATTTAACCTCTGCCATTTTCATATTTGCTTAACAGACCACAGCCTATCCTGCTTAAAGCTTATGTTCTGTGCTCAGGGATCGTTCCTGGCAAGGCTCATATGTGGTGCTGGGGATTGAACTCAGCTTGATTTGTGTAAGCAAGCACCTTACCAGGTGTCCTGTCTCTCTGGCCCCAGTATAATGTGGCAGCTGCTCTCTTCTGTTCTAATACCTTTTTGGTTACAGGAAACAAGTAGAGGACTGGGTTTGGCCCCATGTTTACAAATGCCTGGGAAAGTTTGTTTTGGGGCCACACCTGTGGGACTCCCAAGGCTAACTCCTGGCCACACACAAGAAACCATATGCAGTGCAGGGGATTGAACCCACCCGGGTCAATTATGTGCAAGGCAAATGCCTTACCACCAGAAGTATTTTTCTTTTTTAAAAAAATGTTTTAATTATTTTTTTTTATTGATTCACCATGAGGTATAGTAACAAAGCTTTCATGTTTGAGCTTCAATTATACAGTCATCAAACACCCATCTCTTCACCAGTGCACGTTTTCCACCACCAAAATCCCAGGTATTCGTTCCCCCCCCCATGCCTGTGTGGCAGACTATTTATTTACACAATACTCTCTTTCTCTAGTTACCTTCGATATTTCGAGACCAGTCCCACCACCACTCATACCTGCTGAATGCATATCTAGCATTGCCTAATGTGTTTTGTATTGCTTGTTATGCATACAATATAATGTTGCACGTCTGCTCTTGCAGCTCTAGGAATTCTAAAATTTTAATAATTAGGGTCTGTGGGGCTGGAGCAATAGCACGGTGGGTAGGGTGCTTGCCTTGCACGCAGCCGACCCGGGTTCGATTCCCAGCATCCCATGTGATCCCCTGAGCACCACCAGGGGTAATTCCTGAGTGCAGAACCAGGAGTAACCCCTGTGCATCACCAGGTGTGACCCAAAAAGCAAAATAATCTGAAGAGATTGCTGCAGCAAATTGCTCAGGTCCGAGATTCGTTTGTGTGTCCCTGGATCATGGCCGTGTGGGAGCTTAAGTAGAAGGTGGCAGTTGTGGCTTCATCTCTGAGTCCCATCGGGGCAGGGGGAAGGAGAAGGGCCCACTCCTTCCCTGTCATGTGAGGCCTGGCGTTTGCCACCACCACCACTTGTACCTGGAGCTTGTCACTGACTTCTAGAAAATGGCAGCCGCCGGGGCTCCTAGAGGGCAGGCAGAGGGACGGTGCCTGCCCATCTGGAGTTTTCCAGTGGAAACGGCCTATTGCAAAGTCGGGGGACATCTCTGCAGCAAGTTGCTCGGGTCTGAGGTTCGTTTGTGTGTCTTCTTTTGGTTTTCATGTTTGGGTAATGCTCAGAAGCCATGTGATGATGGAGAATTGAACTCAGGCCTCCCAGCCTGTGAAGCATATACTCAGTCCTTTATTATCTCTCCTGAGTCTTGGGTAGTTTTTAAGATCATGGATCCTGTGAACCTGTTCTCCTCAAATGTGAAATGATATTAATATAGTACCTATCTTTTTTTTTAAATTAATTAATGTTATTAGTGAATCACTGTAAGGTACAGTTACAGGCTTACAAACATTCGTGTTTGCGTTTCAGTCATACAGTGATCGAGTACCCATCCCTCCACCAGTGCTCATTTCCCACCACCAATGGTTCCAGCATCCCTCCCACCACCCCTACCCCATCCCCTCCACCCTACCCTGCCTCTGTGGCAGGGCATTCCCTCTTGTTCTCTCTCTCTGTTTGGGTGTTGTGGTTTGCAATAGAGATATTAAGTGGTCATCATGTTTGGTCATATAGTACGTATCTTAATCAAGTGGTTGTGGCGGGCCCAAAGCATCAGGAAAGTGGACAGGGCAGTACCTTACATGCGACCGGCCTGGGTTCAATCCCCTGAGCCCTGCCAGGAATACCCCTGAGCACTGTTGAGTGGGGCCCAAGAACCAGAAAGAAAGAAAAACCAAATAAGAGTCTGGGGAGATGGGTCAGAAGGCTGGAACACCTACTTTGTTGCATGTTGGAACCCAGATCACCACATGGTACCTCAGGCGCTGCCAGGAACCACCCCCAGCACCCACTCATGTTGAGCCTACCCCCAAAAACTACGAAACAGGTGGTTGTGAAGATAAAATAAGCTGATGAATGTGAAGTACAATCACAGCGGGTGCTAGAGATTTTTGCTCTTGTGTTTGTGATTATAATTGCTACTTCAGGATTACCGTCCACATCAGCTATTCTCAGCCTCCAGTCTGGCCTCCTTTCCCTGCTTCTCTGATTATCTTCCTAACTGCTTTTTGTACCCAGACCCCCACCATGATGACTTGTACCTCAATGCCAGCAGCTTCCTGGCCCTCATTAATGGGGAAAGAGACCATCCCAATGCCACAGGTAAGACCCTAAGCATCACCCCTAGGTCCCATTTTCTGTTCTCTCACCCCTTACCCAGCCACTGTCTCCTGACCCGACCTGCTGACTGAATGTCATCTTCCCACCCTGCAGCTTGGCGGAAGAACTTTCTCCGTGTGGGCCGCTTGGTGCTGATTGGGGGCCCTGATGACGGTGTTATCACCCCATGGCAGTCCAGGTAATCAGGGTTGCTGTGGTCTAAAGATCTGCTAGGGACAGTCTGTCTCATACCTGCTCCCCTACTGTTTAATACTCCCCCGTCACCCAACCCAAAACCCTGGGCGGCGTCACTGCAGGTACTTGTGTCTTGCCAGTCACTAAGTTCTGCCACCCATTTCCTCCTCATCCCTACTGTGGCCCATTCATGGGAAAAGTTCTGGTTTTTAATTTTACATTTTTCAGCTTATTACAAAAGATAGAAATGAGCACTCAGCTGGAAAGGTACTTAGGGAGAGGTTGGCATACTTCTCCGTCTTGTGAGGTTGGAATACACACCCCATCCTCTTAAGATGTAACCCTGGGGCTGGAGTGATAGCACAGCGGGTAGGGCATTTGCTTTGCACGCGGCCGACTCAGGTTCAATTCCCAGCATCCCATATGGTCCCCCGAGTATGGCCAGGAGTAATTCCTGAGTGCATGAACCAGGAGTAACTCCTGTGCATCGCTGGATGTGACCCAAAAAGAAAAAAAAAAAAAAAAAAAAAAAAAAAAAAGATGTAACCATGCATCAACTTCCCTGCAAAACTTTTCACTTTGAAATATTTGCCTGGGGCTGCAGAGATAATATAGCCTGTAAGACACTTGCTTTGCACTTGCAGTTGATCCTGGTTTGATCTTTGACACCCCATATGGTCCTCCCAAGCTTGCCAGGAGTGATCCCTTCACCGCCAGGTGTGACCTGAAAATGAACAAACTTTTCCTGTTCATAGAAAATTGCAGAGATGTTTACAGAGGTCCTGTGCTCTGTTACCCATTTTCCTGGTATGACTGTATACTATGAAGCCATACCACGGTGTCAAACCAGATAATTTACACTGCTACCGAGTGCAAGACAAACACCCTACTCATTGTACTATCACTCTGGGTCTATATATTAAACAAAGAATTAAAAAAAAAAATAAGGGGGCTAGAGTGATAGCACAGCTAGTAGGGCGTTTGCCTTGCATGCGACCGACCCCGGTTTGATTCCCAGTATCCCATATGGTCCCCTGTGCATTGCCGGGTGTGACCCAAAAAGCAAAAAAAAAAAAAAAAAGGTGGTTGTGAGGCTGGGGAGATAGTTAAGAGGGCTGGAACACCTGATTTATATGTTGGAACCCATGTCATCACACGGTCCCCTAGGCACTGCCAGAAGCCATGCCCCACACCCACTTACAATGAGCCACTGTGCCAGTGTGAAAATGCAGCAGGTATGGTGTTTGCCTTGTACGAGGCTGAATCAGGTTCAATCTCTGGCATCCCATATGGTCCCCTGAGAACCACCAGGAGTAATTCTGGACTGCTGAGCCAGGTGTAACCCCTGGGCATTACTGGGTGTAACCCAAAAAGCAACAAACAAACAAAAACTCAAAACCTTTTACAATTTTTTTTTTTTTTTTTTGCTTTTTGGGTCACAGCCAGCGATGCTCAGGGGTTACTCCTGGCTCATGCACTCAGGAATTACTCCTGGCGATGCTCGGGGGACCATATGGGATGCTGGGAATCGAACCTGGGTCGGCCATGTTGGCTGCGTGCAAGGCAAACGCCCTACCCGCCGTGCTATCGCTCCAGCCCCTACAATTTTTTTAATGTCAAGTGTCAAACCCAGGACCTCACACATGCAAGACAAGTACTCTACTTCTGAGTTACCATCCTGGCCCTTTGTCATATATCTTTTCTTTTACACCATACTGGGCAATGCTCAGGGGTTACTCCTGGCTTTGCACTCAGGAATCACTCCTGGCAGTGCTCACAGGGGCACTATATTATTTGCTGAGGATTGAACCTGATTGTCCTTGTGCAAGGAAAGTGCCCTACCCGCTGTACTATCGCTCTGGTTCCCCTTAATTGCAATTTTTATCACTTCTTTCACTTACCCAGGATGTATTAACTTACAGTCATATCCTCTTCATCTAAGTCCTCAGGAAAATTCTTGGTTCTATGGCATTGCTTAAATGCCTCAGTTATAGCTCATCATTAGTGATCTGAAATGTCACCTGAACTACTCAATTAATTTTTCAGTTTTGGGGTCACTCCCGGTGATGCTCAGGATCCATGCTCCCAGGCTGTAACTGGCAGTGCTTGGGGTCGCTCCTGGTGGTGCTCAGCAGTTACTCCCAGCAGTGCTGGCAGGGAACAAGGCCTGGGGGGGATGGAACCCTGCTGTCCAGCTTGCAGAGCATGCACTCAGGCCTTTGAGCTCTCTCCTCGGCTCACCTGAGTCATCACTTTAATCACTCAGCAAATATTTATTCATCTCTTTGTGCCAAGACACTGTTCTGGGCCTTGGGGATACACGGGTAAAAGACATGTTTTCTCATGTCGCTTAACTTCTAGAGGGGGAGACAGGTCATAAATGTGAATATATGTTTCAGACGGTGATAGAATAAGGCAGAGGGGGTAAATGGGAAGATGCTTAGGGGCTCTAGAGAAATAGTACAGGCGGTGAGGCTCATGCCCTGCAAGCTGCCAATCTGCTGGCACCACATGTGATTCCCTGAGCACCACCAGGGGTCACTCCTGAGCAGTGTTTCTCTCCTTCCCGCCCCCCCCCCCCCCCCACACACACACACACACACACTTACACGGAAGTGGATGGCTGGAGTCTTAGTGGGAAGTCTCCTCAAGGAGTCATCATTTGAGCAGAGACAGAGACTAAAGGAAGTGAGGGAAACAGTTCTACCTTCTCAGGCAAAATGACTCACAAAGGAGATGCAAAGGGAGCTGCAAAAGGCGAGGGGCAGGTGTGAGGAGTAAGGAAACTGTGGGGGTGGGGGCGGCAGGAGCCATTGTAGAGTGGGTGGACTGTTTGCCTTGCACACAGCCATTCCAGGTTCAATCTCCTATAAGACCCCCTGAGCACCACCAGGAGTAGTTCCTGAGTGCAGAGCCAGAAGTAACCCCTGAGCATCGTGGGGTGTGGCCCCCAGAACAACAACATTAGGGGCTAGAGTGATAGTACAGTGGGTAGGGCATTTGCGTTCCATGCGGCTGACCCGGGTTCGATTCCTAGCATCCCATATGGTCCCCCGAGCAACACCAGGAGTTACTCCTGACTCATGAGTGCATGAGTCAGGAGTGACCCCTGTGCATCACCGCGTGTGACCCAAAAAGTGGAAAAAAAAAACCCCAACATTACTGTGTATCTGGTGTGCAAGGAGCAAGGAGGGGAGGTAAAAGGTAACAGGGAACCAGTTGAGCTTTTATTTATCTTTTATTTGTTTTGGGGCCACAGCTGGCATTGCTTAGGGCTTATTCCTGACTGCTCAGACATCACTCCTGGCTGGGCTTGGGGGACCATGTGGGGTTGACCACATGCGAGCTCCTACCTTCTGTACTATCGTCCCAGCGTCAAACCAGTTGAGCTTTTGTAGGGCAAACTCAAACCCTTGATATTTTATTTTATTTTTTAAATGTAGGAGTACTGCTATTTATTCAGCCATTGATAATTTTTTTAAATTTTATATTTTATTTATTGGCTTTTTGGGTCATACTGACAAAGCATAAGCATATGCAGGGGTTACGCCGGACTTTGCACTCAGGAGTCACTCATGGTGGTCCTTGGGGGGAACATATGGGATGCCAGGGATCGAAACCAAGTTGGCCACATGCAAGGCAGATGCCCCACCCGCTATACTATCGCTCCAGCCCCGAACCTTGATATTTTAAAAATAATGTTTATCAGGACCTGAGGGAGAGATAGTGCGTGAATTAAGGCACTTACCGTTGCAAGCTGCTTATGGTCCCCTGAGAACCACCAGGAGTGACCCAAAAAGCACCACCCACAACAAAAAAACAAAAACAGAAACCAATGTTTATCTATTTTTGGTGCCAAGTATTGAACCTAGGACCTCATAAGCAAAATGTATGTTCAACCACTGAGCTACATCCAGGCCGTACTGTACCCTCTTTGCCACTAAAATATGCACATCAGATTCAGGCCATGACTTAAGGGACTGGAGCATTTGCTTTTCATGGCCTGGGCCTGATTGGTCCCTCAGACATCCCTGGGAGAGGCCTCTGAGCACAAAGCCAGTAGTAATCCCCAGAGCACTGCTGGGGGTATATAGAAAACAATAAACCCTAAGTATACACATGTAAAGTTTACTTTTTTTTTTTTTTTTGCTTTTTGGGTCACACCTGGCGATGCACAGGAGTTACTCCTGGCTCTGTACTCAGGAATTACTTCTGGCAGTGCTCAGGGGACCATATGGGATGCTGGGAGTCGAACCGGGGTCGGCCGCGTGCAAGGCAAACGCCCTACCCGCTGTGCTATCTCTCCAGCCCATAAAGTTTACTTTTTTGTGTTAATTTGAGCCACATCTGGCTGTGCTCAAGGGTTACTTCAGGCTCTGCACTCAGTATTCATTTTTGATAGTGCTCTGGGGCCCATATGAGGTGCTATGGCTGTGAGCAAAGAAAGTTCTCTGATTGCTGTACTATCGCTCCAGCCTGGCTCTATTTTATTTTAGGAGTTTTTAAAATTTTGGTTTTTTGAACTGTACTCAAGTATTCTGAGGGCCACTCCCAGCCCAGTGCTCAGAAGTTTTCATGGTGGTATTTGGGGGACCATGTGGTGCCAGGGATTGAACATGGGCCTCTGGCATACAGACCTTGAATCATCTCTGAGTCCCTAGAGTCTTTTTTTTTTTTATATATACTTTTTTTTTTTTTGGGTCACACTTGGTGATACACCGGGATTACTCCTGGCTCAGCACTTAGGAATTACTCCTGGCGATGCTCAGAGGACCATATGGGATGCTGGAAATGGAACCCGGGTCGGACACACGAAGGCAAACACAGTACCCACTGTCCTATTGCTGCAGGGCCCCTAGAGTGTTTTGAATGACAGATGACAGCCTTAATGGAAAGGGATAAAATACAGTATCTCATTTTATATGCAGCTACTTTGAAAATAGTAAATAACTCATAGTTTCAAAGCACCTTTTACGTACAAAACACTATTCTAAATACTTTTCAAATAAAGCACATTTAACACAACAACCTTCTGGGATAATTACTATACCCTCATTTGACATAGAAAGTAATGTATGTACATTCAGAGAATAAATGATGTATGGACCTTATAAGCAGAACATACACTCAGTCACTTAGCTACATCCTGGCCCTGACCTGGTCCTATTCCTACATTGTTCTCTATCCTGTGTCCACTTTCCTAGCCTAAAACCTGCAACTGGAATCCTGTCACCTGTGTCCCCTTGCTGGGGCTTGCTATTCTGATCTGTCACTGGGCCTCTCTAGGATTGTGCCCCAGCAGCTTCCTGTCCCCTTGGCTTTCCTTAGCCTCTGGCCCACGTTGAGGTCTTGGCTGTCTTACCCTCTGGGTATAGGTGAGAGGCCAAAGAGAGGTGCCTGGCTGGGTCTCCTTTTTTACTTCCTGTTCACTCCCAGCATTGCCATTACCTAGTTTGACTGGATACCTTTTTCTGAGGGTGAGCTTTACTTAAAGTGTCAGTTAAATGAACTAGTTCACTCGGTGCACTCTACCCTCAGTTAATATATATGTATTTGTGGCCAGCTGGCAATGCTTAGGGATAAGCCCTGGCAGTGCTTTGGGGATCATATGGAATATTGGGGATCGAACCTGGGTGTAAGGCAAGCACCATATCCGCTATAATATCTCTCTGCCACACCCACAGGTCCCCCACCGTCCATTGGTTAATTTTTTTTTGCTTTTTGGGTCGCACCTGGCGATGCTCAGGGGTAACTCATTACTCCTAGCGGTGCTTGGGGAACCATATGGGATGCTGGGAATCGAACCCGGGCAAACGCCCTCCCTGCTGGACTATCGCTCCAGCCCCCAAGATAGTTTTTATTGAAACTTATTTAGAAATGTGAGGGAAGAGAAAGGAGATGTGTGTTCAAGAGATCACAGGTTTCTCCAGGGTGAAAATAGGCGAGCAAAGCTGAAACAGAGACAGGCAAGCAAGATACGTGTTCAAGGGAGAACACGAGCTTACACAGCAAGCCAACTAAATATTCTTCACTGATAATTTATTACGTTTTATTTTGGTGGGGTTTTTATGAGGGGTATGGTCAGGGGGCCGCAGCAGATGCTGGAGATGAACCAAACTTAGCCCTGTGCAGGGCAAGTGCCCTGCCCACTGTACTCTCTCTCCAGCCCCTTACTGCCCCTTTTTTTTTAAAACCCACCAAGTAGTGCTTTAGTGGGTCAGAGGTTTCCCCCTCATACTTGGCCAACTCAGCTGACTACAGTGGTGGGCTGCTGTTCATGCCCAGTGATGCTGGGGGCCACAGCAGTACTCTGGGGATCACATGGTACCAAAGAAAGCACTCATATTTTTGCACATACAAGACTTGAGCCTCTGGGCCAGAGCAATAATACAATGGGTAGGGCACTTGCCCTGCAGGCACAGACCTGGGTTTCATCTCTGTACCACATACAATGTCCTGAGGCCCACCAGCAGTGATTCCCTGAGCACAGATTCAGGAGTAAGCCCTGTGCACCACCAGGTGTGGCCCCCCCACCACCTCCCCCCCCAAAAAAAAGGTGAATCTCTGACCCCGGAGTTACCTCTCTGGCCCCACAATATGTTAAAGTTTGACCATGTTTTCATTAGCAGTCTCTCATCTATTTGTGTGCATTGTGTGATATTTATATTGTTGTGTGTGAACCATTTGAGAGTAGGTTGCAAACATAACGTCCCTTTACCCCTACCACTTTCATATGTCAGTGTGTATTTCCTGTGTAGGAAATTCTTTTTCACATCCACAATACAGTTATCAAAATCAGGAAACTGCCATTGATTCATTACTCTATATACTTTATTTAAATGTTTTCTTTCTTTGTTTTTTATTATAAATGTTCTTATTCTAACATTTGTTTTTTTTTTTTAGGAAAAAAAATTCCAGTGTAAGATCCAGCCCAGGATCAGTTACTGTGTTAGTTGTTCCTTTAGTCTCAGTCAATCTGGAATTTTCCTTCAGTTCATGACTTTGATTATTTTAAAGTGGGTTCCCCCCACCCCCAAGAGGGGGGTTGGGTTGGGGGGTTTTTGGATCCCACTTAGTGGTGCTTAGGGGCTGCTCCCTGCAGTATTTGGGGTTGGGATACTGTGCAGTGCTGGGAATGGAGACCAGGTCTCCTGCATCAGAGTACGCATGCCCTCCTTAGAACTGTCTCTCCAGCCCTGTAGCTATGTAGCTATCTTCTAGACTCTTCCTCAGATGGAATTTCTTGGCTATTTTCTCATGGATACACACTTTTTTGTTGTTGTTTAGGGGCCAAACACAGTAGTGCTCATGGGCTACTCCTGTCTCTGTGCCCAGCAGGGACAGTGCTGGTATTGCTTGGGGTACTATACAGTACCAGGATGGAACCTGGGCCACCCGAATGCAGAGTCTGTATTGCAGACCACTGAACCATCTCTATGGCCCTAGCTCTTGTGTTCTTGGTGGGGATTCTACACAAACAATGTAGCCTCAGGTCATTAGTTTATTATGCTAAGGATTTTTATTTTTACTGTTTTTGTTTTGGGACCAAACTCACCTGTGCTCAGAGCTTACTCCTGGTTCTACACTCAGGACTCCTGACGGGCTTGGGGGACTATCTGGGGTGCCAGGGTTTGAACCGGGTTGTGCAGGTGCAAGGCAAGTGCCTTACCCACAGTACTATCTCTAGCCCTCAGCTAAGGATTTTTGAGGGTCTTCTTTTAAGAGGAATCCTGCTTCACCTGGAGAGATAGTACAGTGGGTAGAGCACTTCCTTTGGCATGCAGCCAACCTGGGTTTGATCCCTGGCATACTTAAGGTTCCTCAAGCCATTCATTCATGAGCACAGAATAGGAGCAAGCCCAGAGCACAGATGGTTGTGGCCCCCCAAAAAACCAAAACAGAAAGGACAACTGTTCTCCAACAGGCAGTTGAAGGTCAAGAACCAGAAAGGACCCCGTCCCTGTCTTGATTTATGTTTGCTTGCGTCTGGGCCACACTCAGTGGTACTCAGGAGCGTCTTCCAGCTCACTGCTTGAGTCATTCCCAGCTGTGCTCAGGGGACCGTGGACCATGTGCCAGGGATTGAACCCAGGCCTCCTGCTTGCATAGCATTTGCTCCAGCCTATTGAGCATCTCCCTACCTAGCCCCATCCTTTTTTGTTGTTGTGTTTCAGGTCACACACTCAGCGCTTACTCCTGCCTCTGTGCTCAGGCATCACTCTCAGCAGTGCTCAGGGTATCATATATGGTGCCAGGGATCAATCTGTTTGCTTGTTTCGGGGCCACACTCAGTGGCGCTCAGGAGTCATGCTTAGCCACATTCAAAGCAAGCGCCTTACCATGCTTTGGCCCCCAGCCCATCTTTATTTTATTGTGTGTGTGTGTGTGTGTGTGTGTGTGTCTGTGTCACACCTGATGATGCACAGGCGTTACTCCTGGCTCTGCACTCAGGCGGTGCATCCAGGAGTACTCAGACTCAACACCCCTGGTGGTGCTCAGGGGACCATATGGGATGCCGGGAATTGAACCCGGGTCGGTTTTGTGCGAGGCAAACGCCGTACCCGCTGTGCTATCACTCCAGCCCCAAGCCCATCTTTATTCTATCCAGCTTTCCTGGTAATAGCACTCTTTTCCAATCTCTTTGTAGCTTCTTTGGTTTCTATGATGCAAATGAGACGGTGTTGGAGATGGAGGAGCAACTGGTGAGCGTGAGCCCCCGGAAATGAATTCCATGATCCCCCGCCCACACTCACACACACAGTCCCGCCTCGTTTCTGTCACCCTCCCTGCCTCTGACCCGGGAGCTGGTGGGATCACCCTGTGGGGAAGCCTGGGACCCCAGCCAAGTCTCACTTGGTGTCTTCCTGTGTCTCTCTTCCATGCTCCGTTAACCCCCTTGAAGGTTTATCTTCGGGATTCTTTTGGGTTGAAGACTCTGCTGGCGCGGGGGGCCATCGTGAAGTGTCCGATGGCTGGGATCGTGCACACGGCCTGGCACTCAAACCGCACCCTTTACGATACCTGCATTGAACCGTGGCTCTCCTGAGGACATCCACAGGGATCCCTGCAGACCCTGGCCCAGAGACCAAGCGGTGGCCTTGGATAGCAGAGGCCAGGCTGTGGTGTGCCTCACTGCTCCCACACTGCCCCCCACCAGCCAGCGCTCCCAGACCCCCGCCCCCCTCCGCTCCTCTGTGAATGACAGCAAGTCCTGGACGCCCCACCTCCATCGGAGGCTGCTCCACCTCCCGTGTCCTCCCGAGGCTGAGGATGGGAAGCGACACACCAGGTTTTTCACGCTGGCCTGGCCGCTGCTGCTGCTTCATCTCTGGCCATGCCGGGGGAGAGCCCAGCCTCTGCCCACACGAGGCTCTCTTCCCGGCCACTCAGGACATTTTTAGCTTCTGTTCTCCCCCTGATCTCTTTTTCTCTGAACTCCCCCGTCGTCAGCCCTCCCAACCTCTGGAAGGACTACTCGTGAGAGTGGGGTTCTGAGGTTCCCCTATGGGGACAGTTCCGTTCTTGAAGTGTCAGTGTTGGGGAATATCTGTGGCCTGCAAGGCCCATCTCAGGTTTGGGGATCCCCCCAGTCCCTATGTTCAGTGTTGGGGTACCCCTGGGGACCTAGTTTCTTTGAGGCCCCAGCCCCTCTTTTAGCTACCCATGAATGGGTATTGCCCCAGTATTTATGGAAATAAAGTCCCATTTCCTCAGTGTGTTCTGGCTTCTTTCCAGGTGAGGGGACCTGGTTCCCCAGGGAGGGTGGGGTGAGGGAGCCCGAGGCCTGGGTGCCCGGATGTCTGATATGGGGTGGGGATCCCCTGGGTCTTTCCGCTTTCTCAATGCCCATTCTGTGCGGGTTCCTGGTTCTCTGCGGGTTCTTTCCTGCCGAGGACAATTCTCTTCCTGTCTCAGCCTGACGTTGCGGGGCTGAGTCGGAGTCTCCAGTCCAGCCACATGGGTGGAATGTGTCTGCCACCCCTAGGCCAGATGAGGGGGCTGGGGGTCATGGTGGGCATTAGTGGAGCCCCCTTTCGACCTTTGTAGGTCAGAGCTGGCCAAGGGGCTGGACAATGAGTCTCCTCTTCCTAGAAAGAAGGAATTTTGGCGGCGACAATAGAGCACTGTCTGCTGTGGCGTTGGGTGTGGTGGCTGACTCAGTTCTTGCCCCCCAGACGTTGCTCTAACAAATGTCATCAAGAAATGGGGGCAGTTTCCCCTTCATACCCTGGTGCCCCCCGCTTTGACGACGGCCTTCTTAGCTAATCTTGCCACTTCTCCCATGACCCAACCTGCTTTGTTCTCTTCCAGCTCAGTCTCATTCCCTGACCCACAGCCAGTGCCCCTCGTCTCGTTGGGAGTGGGGGAGGGGCGAGGGCCAGGGCTGCTGCTGGGGGTGACCTCCGTGGATTTGAAGACGGTCTATAAATAAGGGCTTATCAGGGACTCGGGGGAGTGACTTCTAAGGAGCCCTTTGCCGGGGCTGAGTGAGGTCCTGAGTGGGCTTGAGCAGGGTCAGGGATGGGAGGGCTCTGTCTGGGTTGGCCCCTCCTCTTCTCTGCAGCTGCCCAGCCCGCCCACCAGAGTGAGCTGCTGCCGCCGAGCCTGAAATCTCCAAAGAGAAGAGTGAGAAGGACAGGTGGGAGCGATCTGTCACCGGGGCAGGGGGGGGGGGGGGTGGTGTCTCGTGGGGCAGAGAGCATGTTGGGAGATGCTGCCAGAGCAAGGGGTGGGGGGTAGCAGGATTATGCGTGAGGGGTGGGGCCTGGAGGTGTGTGGATTTGTGTGCAAAGTGTATGTAGGGTAATGGTGGATCTCTGAGGGAGGCTGTTTGGTGGGGGAGGGGGGCTACTCTGGCTCATTACTCAAGGCTTGCCCCTGGCACTGCTCAGGGGATCCTGCAGTGATGGGAATCGAACCTAAAGCCTCCTGCAGGTAAAGCATCTGATTCCCCAGTTCCTGAGGTTGGAAGATGAAGGTAGAAACGGCATGTCAGAGAGTGGAGGGTTAACAGACTTAAGCCCAGTGTGTTTGTGTCTTGGGGCCGATGTAGGGAGTGCGTTGTGTCGGGTGTGAGCTTGTGTGAAGCTACGTGGACTATGATGTGCATAAGGAAGAGGTGGCATTAGGACAGACAGGTGGAGACTGCCCGTGGCTAGTGCAGGACTGTGCAGTGACTGGCCTGCTGCGCCCCCTCCCCCCCCCCCAACCCGTGGAGGGTACCTCCTACAAGTCCACAGAAGAGGCAGGACCTCCATTAACCTCTTCTTGCCCACAGCCAGCCACCTGGTGCGAAAGAATCATGGGGTCCGGAGCTGAGCACACCCTCCTAAGCGGCCTTGCATTCCTCCTGCTTCTCCTGTCAGGCGAGGGGGCCAAGGGTGGATCCCACAAAGAGAGGTGACAGCTGCGAGTAGGGCAGGGTTGAGGTCTTCATGGACCCTGCTGGGGACGGGGCTTTGCGGGTGACCAGATGAAGGTTGCCCTTTAGAAGGGGACGAAGGGGACCCTCTGTGGAGCCTTGGGGGGAGTGCCTAGCTCAGGGTCTGGACCACTCAGTGTCCCCCCCACCCCTCTCTGGCATGAGTGCAGCCCGAGGGTCTGCTCGAAGCAGACATTGGTGGTCCCACTCCGGTACAACGAATCCTACAGCCAGCCGGTGTACAAGCCCTACCTGACTCTCTGTGGTGGGAGGCGCGTCTGCAGCACCTACAGGTGAGGGATGGGATCTGGATCCCGGGATCTTCCAAGAGGAACCCCAGAAACCACAATCAGACCAATGGCCAGAGCCCCGCGCTGTGTTCCAGGACCACATACCGGGTAGCGTGGCGGGAGGTGCGGAGGGAAGTGCCGCAGACCCACACCGTGTGCTGTCAGGGCTGGAAGAAGCGGCACCCGGGGGCGCTCACCTGTGACCAAGGTGAGGTTGGAACTTTCCAGACCTCCGGGAAGGTGCACTGGGTTGGACCGGGCCACCAGGCCTTTGGTCCCATTCTCCAGCCCCACTCTTGCACCCACAGCCATCTGCGCCAAGCCCTGCCAGAACGGAGGCATCTGTGTGCGGCCAGAGCAGTGCGAGTGCGCCCCTGGCTGGGGTGGGAAACACTGTCATGTGGGTGAGTCAGGGTCCCAGGTAGCACACGCCCCCGCCAGCCACCCCACCCCAACTCAGCATCCTCCTCTCCCCGGTCATAGATGTGGATGAATGTCGGCCCGGCATCTCCCTCTGCTCGCACCGATGCCTCAACACAGCAGGCAGCTTTACCTGTGGCTGCCCCGCAGGCCTGGTGCTGGGCCCGGACGGGCGCACCTGCAATGAGGGCTCCGCCGAACCTCCCACCAGTGCCAGCATCCTCAGTGTGGCTGGTGAGTGTGTGGGGATGGGAGCCATGAGGAGGAAGGAGCCTGGGCTGGTGGCCCGATCTCCAGTGGTGGCTCTGTCCTCTGTCCCAGTTCGGGAAGCGGAACATGAGGATGGTGCCCTTAAGCGGGAGATCAGGGAGCTGCAAGGGCGCCTGGAGAGGCTGGAGCAGGTGAGCGCAGGAGCAGGCGGTTAAGCCCATGGGACCCAGAGCCCCAGGCCAGCCGCTGAAACATCCTCTCTTCTAGTGGGCAGGTCAGGCCGGGGCCTGGGTCCGAGCAGTGCTGCCCATGCCACCTGAAGAGATCGAGCCCGAGCAGGTGGCAGAGCTGTGGGGCCGGGGCGACAGGATCGAGTCTCTCAGTGAGCAGGTGCTGCTGTTGGAGGAGAAGCTGGGCACCTGTGAGTCACACTGCGAGCCGGAACCCTACCGCCCCCCCGCACCCCCCCCCCCCCACGACCCCAGACACTTCCCCAAAGGTCTTCTCTTCCTGAAACCCGTTTCCTGGACTTGGTCGCCCCAACACTCCCGTCCCCACCCCCTGGTTGAGTGTTTTGATGTATATGCGTGAGTGCAGTGCTCACAGCCCACCTCAGGCTGGAGACCAGCAAAGGTTTGCCTCTCCCCTTGTCATGAACCAGGTTCCTGCGAGGACAATAGCCTGGGCCCAGGCCTCAACCGAAGGCGGAGATAAAGGAACTGGTGCTGGGCTCCTGCTCCCTAATTTATGCAGAACTGGACCTACTAATCTTCTGGGATTGGCTGGCTGGGAGGCTGCAGATAAGGTTATCTGCCACCAAAAAGCAATGTGCGGAGCTGGAGTGATAGTACGGTGGGCAGGGTGCTTGTCTTGCACGCAGCTGACCCGGGTTTGATCTCTGTCATCCCATATGGTGCCCTATGGACCACCAGGAGTAATTCCTGAGTATGTAGCCAGCAGTAAGCCCTGAGCACCACTGGGTGTGGCCCCAAAACAGAAATTTAAAAGAACAACTTGCAAGTTTGCAGAAGGAAGGCGGAATGTCCTGGCCAGCCCAGCCAGTCTTCAGTGTGGGACAGGTCACCTGGGAAGAACTGCTTTCTTCCACTCCTTAACAAACACAACCAGAAAGTGCCTAGATCTCTCTCTCTCTCTCTCTGTCTTTATTCTTTTTTGCTGTTATCCAATAATTAATAAAATTCAACCACGCAAAACCAGGTCCCACTCTCTCCTTTTGCTCCCAGCCCACCTCCTTGGCTGTGGGCACAGGTCTGGGGTAGGAGGCAGGGAGTGGTTAATGCCACAGAAGGAAATGAAAACTGGCTCAGAGAGGGAAGCCTCAAAAGAAAGAGAAATAAATTAAAAGCCCTCCTGTCCCCTTCAGCCAGGGCTCAGTTCCTTTCCCCAGCTCCCCAAGAGCAAAGTGAGAGCAGTAGCTGATGTCTGCCTCTTCCCCTGGTGTCTGTTTAGAATGGTACGGCAAGGCTGCAGGGGGCTGGGGGGGCCTGAACCACTGAAGAATTGTACCATGGGGACAGGGGGAGGCTGAAATGTGGAGACCGAAACTGGCAACCAGGAGTGTCCTCGATCCTCGGCACAGGCAGGCATGAGACCTTGGAGTCCAAGTCCAGACTCCGCCGACGGGAGGCTCCATAGGAGGGTGAAGGTGCTGAGGAATGTTCCCGAGATGAGCCTGGGGGGTGTGTCCCAGGCGTCAGCTTCCAGCCACAGCGTGAGGAGACCGCCTCACACACAGAAGAGTCCACGGAATCCATGGATGTGGGGGCAGTGGTGGGGAACTGTTCCAGAGAATGGATGAGTCCACTAGCCAATGGGGGGGGTGGAGGAAGAGATCACAAAGGAAGAGGTCCACTGAGGACAGGCTGGAGTGCCCCCACCTGTGTAGGCTGAGCCACTGGCTAGCGGGGAGGCAACTGTCCCACAGACAAAATGGCACAGGAGGTGGGTGTGGGTCAAAGTGTAGACTGCACCGAGGCAAGAGAGTCTGAGGGAGCCGGGAAGGGGCAGGGTGCGGTGCTGTATCCACATTCACTTCAGAAGTTGAAGATTCCAAAGAGGAGAACAAGTGGGGAGAGGGGAAAACGAGGAAAAGGGCTCGGCCCTGTGGCAGGGCCCACTTTGGGCTAGGAGGAATGAGGGGTGGGGGTGGGGGGGAGATGAGAGGGAAGCTCAGAGCCGGGCCTCGCCCACCCCTCCAGGCTTCTTCACATAGTCACCACCACCCCTGCCATCCGTGGAGATTTCCCGGAAAATGGTGAGCATGGAGTGTCGAACTGTGTCAGCCAGCTCGGGGACGTCCTCTGGTGTCAATCCTTCTGTGGGCACTGGAGGCAGCACCCGCACTTGACATCGCCCTGGGAGGGATTGAGCAACACCATGGTTTGTTTACCCAGGCCTCAGCCCACCCGGGCAGCCAGTGTCTGCTGTTCCTGCTCGTTCATTCCTTAACTCTTCAGTTCTCACGCCCTGCCTGCCCTGAACTGAGCCTTGCTCCGAGGTTCACCTGCAAGAAGCCTTCCCCAAGCCCTGTCCAAAACCGTGGCAGCATCTGGCCAGATCTTGTCTAGGTTCAGAATTGACTACATTGCACACAGACTTTTCTTTCCGGCTGACAGTGACAGCCCTTGTAGGAGAGACTAAGTTGTCACTACTCTAGCAATGAGCGCTGACTATCCTGGGTAAGCAAGGTCTGGGCGACCTCAGACATGACACTGATGGCATCTCCAGTGCATTTCTGGTCGATAAAGATGATTCCTGCCAGCCAGCAAGCCGGTAGGGCAGAGTCGGCCAACAGGAGCTCTCACGCTTAGCAACTGGGCACCCAGTGGCTAAAGGGACCTGTGACATTTACGCTCTGCCCCTGCCCCGTCTTCCTATCTCATGGAAAGGCTTGTCCCCGTCCCTCTAAGCTCTCCTACAGAGTTCCATTCCTCTTGTTTTTTTGTTTGAGTGTGTAGGAGTGGGGGATAGAGGGGTTGGGCCACACCCCTGCTGTGCTTCTGGGCTACTCCCAGCTTTGTGCTGAGGTCACTCCCGACAGTACCTGTGTTCTATGTGGTGTCAGGGATCTAAGACGCTCAGTTGCATGCAAGGCAAGTGCTTTACCCCCTGTACTACCTTGCTGGCCCCCTTTTTGTGTTCTCATGTTTTTGCAGTGCCAAGAGCTGGACCCAGGGTGTCACCTAGACAAGACAAGTACTTTCCCACTGGGTCACATCCCTGCACCCCCACCCTCCCCTACAGTCTTTTTGGCAAGCCAGCCCCGGATCCACCCAGAACTCTCACCAGAAGTGAACCGGCGCTCCTTCTTACAGTAGAAGTCTCGATAGGAGGACATGACTATGGGAACAATGGGAACCTGGGAAAGGAAAAAGAAATCAGACCACAGCTTCTTTCCAAGGCTCCCAGATAGTGGAGGGTGGGGGTTTCTGGGGGAGAAGGGGCACTAATCACCTGGGCCTGCACCGCGAGGTGGAAGGCGCCCCGTTTGAAGGGCAGCATGGAGCCATTGTGGTTTCTCGTGCCTTCAGGGAAAACCCAGACCCGCACCTGAGGAAGACACAGACAAAGAGTTGGGCTCTCTGAGGCCTGGTGGCACTGCCCATCAATTCATTTACAACTGTTCTACTCCAGAGCCCCCCCAACGCCCGATTTCTCCTGGGTGACTCACATCCTGGGTAAGCAAGGTCTGGGCGACCTCAGACATGACACTGATGGCATCTCCAGTGCGTTTCCGGTCGATAAAGATGACTCCTGCCAGCCAGCAGGCCAGTCCGGCAGAGCCAGCCCACAGGAGCTCACGCTTGGCAATGGGCACACAGCGGCCTGGCAGAACCTCCATCATTCCTTGGGCAGAGATGGATGCAGGAAGAGGATCAGCGTGGGGGCGGTTAACTTTGCCCAGGTCATTACCTCACACGATGACGAGGGAATGAAGATAAAGAAAGAGGGACATGGGATGGGGGGAGGAGAGAGCGACTGAAGGGTACTCATGGTACCCCAAGGAGAAAAGCCTGGAAGGGAATAAGGGGGCAATGGCCCAAATAAGGGTGGAAATTGAGGACCTCTAGGGTAGGAAAATCTGAGGAAAGCTCCAGGAGGAAAGGCCTGGTTGGGGGGGCGGGGGAGGGTGCAGGTGTCCTAAGTCTCACCGAGCAGATCGAGGGAGCTCTGATGATTGGAGACGACAACATAGGGCTGGGACGGAGGGAAGTGGTGAGCCCCTCGCACCTCCACTCGGATCCCATATAGGTACTTGACGTGGAGAAGCATCAGGCGCAAGATTCTGTGGGGTCATGAAAAGGGGGGTCCAAATCTATCCCATGCCTTGGCATCCCCCCGCCCCCTGCTACTATCTTCCTGAGCGTCTTGGCAGCCCTCCCGCCTCCGTGTCCCTGACCACATTCTCGACTATATGCCACGCCCCTTCTGTACCCCAAGGCGCTGGCACCTGGACTCCCACATCTCCAGGCCTCCCCCACCCTGCTGTCCCTCACTTCATGTTCTCGACGTTGCGTCCTCGCACAGCACACACAGGGATGGCGAGCACAGCCAGGAAGAGGATCCAGCCATTGTAGAAGGCCATTTTGAAGAAGTACTTGGCACTGGGGCTGCAGAACCACAGAGTGGGCAGCAGGAAGAGCAGCAGCAGGAAGAGCAGCATCAACACCGTCCATGCCCCTGGCCACAGCTCCATTCTGGCCACCTGCAGAGGGATGGGTAAGGGACAGTGGGCCTGGATCCTGGAGGGTAGCAGGGCAGGCGAAATAGGAAGGCATGTTGGCAGAGTGACTGGGACCAAGGTCATGGCAAAGGGGGCCAAACTGAGGACGTAGGCAGGGTCCAGGCTCCCACTGGACAGGTCCGGACAGGGTAGTGGGGACAAAGCTCAGGACAGCTCTCCTAGCCTTTGCTCCCTGAAGACTCCAGATCTATTCAAGCAAGAGACTCAAGATATGGACACTCAGGGGCTGGAGAGATAGCACAGTGGGTAGGGCATTTGCCTTGTACCCAGCTGACCCAGGTTCGATTCTCAGCATCCCATACGGTCCCCTGAGCACTGCCAAGAGTAACTCCTGAGTGCAGAGGCAGGAGTAACCCCTGTGCATCGCCAGGTGTGATCCAAAAAGCCCCCAAAAAAAAGATATGGACACTCACAATGCACAGGTATACGACAACAAGCGAACAATCAAAATGACAGCTATCACTTTGCTGGCAGAAGTGTTACAGTGGCCTATACCTGCACTGTCTATAATGTAGCCACACAGAACAAATGAGCACTTTGAATGTGGCCTAGTCTGAATTGAGAGCTGTGCTGGGCATATAACATACACGTCAGATTTCAAAATTTTTGAATGAAAAAATAACAGAACATAAAATAGTTTATTAAAGGAGTTGAGCAATAGTACAGCAGGCAGGGTGGCTTGCCTTGCACAAAGCTGACCTGGATTCAATCTCTGGCACCACATCCAGTGGTCCTGGACTGCGCCAGGAGTGATCTCTGAGGGCAGAGCCAGAAGTAAGCCTGAGCACCACCAGGTGTGGCCCAAAAACCAAAAGTCCAAAAACCAAAATGTCTATTAAGGGCAGGGGAAATAATACAGTCGCTAAGATAGTGTAAGGTCTCCTTAGCACTGCCAGGAGTGATACCTGAGCACAGTTAATATGACCCCAAATCAACAACAAAATTCTAATAATCTTTTTTGAGTGTTTGTTTTTGGAAGTTCCACCTAGGGGTGCTCAGGAGTACTACTGCTCTAACCCCCTATTAATAATCTTTTAGGTTGAAATGAGTGACCTTTTAGACATACTGACACTACCAAGTATATAGCTATCATTAATTTCACTCTGGGCTGGAGCGATAGCACAGCGGGTAGGGCGTTCGCCTTACACGCGGCCAACATGGCCGACCCGAGTTCGATTCCTCCGCCCCTCTCGGAGGGCCCGGCAAGCTACCGAGAGTATTCGATATGCCAGACACAGTAACAACAAAGTCTCCAATGGAGACGTTACTGGGCCCGCTCGAGCAAATCGATGATCAACGGGAGGGCCTTTACTTTACTAATTTCACTCTATTGTTTTACATTTTTTGATGCAGTTATGACAAAATTAAGCATAACATACTGGCCTGGAGAGAAAGTGCAGAGGTTAAGGTGTTTGCCTTGCACTCTTGTCAACCTCTTTTTGAATCCCCAGCACTACATACGGTCACCCAAGTAATGCCAGGGGTTACTCCTGAACACAGATGGGTGTGGCCCAAAGTCCCTTACCTCCTGCAAAATGACTTATTTATGGTTTCTATTATATTTCGGTTGGAGGGGCTGTATAAAATATTGTTATATTTTTAAATGCGATCTATACAAGTTTTTGTTGTTTTTTGGACCACACCCGGCTGTGCTCAGGGTTTATCCCTGGCTTTGCATTCAGGGATCACTTCTGGCAGGCTGGGGGTGGGGGTGAGAGAACCACATAGGGTGCTGGGGATTAAAACACAGGTCAGATGCATGTAAGGCCAGTGCCTTACCTGCTAAACTATCTCCATGGCCCCAGACAATTTACATTTTATAGGAAAAATGCCCAGAGAGGCTAAATAACTTACCGGACATCAAGTAATTCCTGAATTCCTGAGAGACCTTCCGGTTTAAACCTAAGCAGTTTCTGCTCCTAATCACTTGGGAACATAGCCACTTGAATGGCCACACATAAACATACACATAGCAGACACAGTGAGAGTGAGCGAACACCCCCGGACATTCTCAAGGCCTAACTGCCAGGAATAAAGGCTCTGTCACTAATAGTTATACAAAGACGTTGTTCAGACACAAATTTAGCTACACCAGTGACAAATAAAGAAAAATAAACACATACCTACAAAAATCCCTCCGCCAGGCAGCCTCACTACCTTGGTCCCAGATAAGCCCAACCACATACCAGAAGCAGTTATACCTGTCAATCTTGCCTCCACCAGCGAACCCACCACCCTCTTTCTTCTTTTCTAGTGTTGGAGGCAATTCCGTGCGTAAGACCTTACCAGATACTGAGGGATAGGGAAAGGCAAAGACAGAGAGTAAAAGGGACAGCATGTCACATACCACCTCCCAACGCTGGAGGAAGAGGCACTGGCACCAGAGCCTGCCTTCCAGGCTTTTCCTTCTTCCTACTGCCTGGGGCAGGGCCACAACTCACAAAAAGGGTGTTTAGGGAAGTAGCCATTACACACAGGCACTCCCACCAATGACCGGACTGGCTGTGCTCAAAGGTGAGCCACACTGCCAAGACAGCATTCAGGAGACAGCCCCTCTGTCCCACTGCCTCTCCAATCCAGACCAGTGTCACTCTCCTGGGATCATGTTCAACATGCTCCAAACTCTTCCCTCATTTAACTACTCAGCCAGACCCTCTTGTCACCTGTATGACAATCACTGAGAATTTTCTTTTTGCTTTGTTTTCGGGCCACACCCAGTGCGGTGCTCAGGACTTATTCCTGGCTCTGTGCTCAGGGGACCATATAGGATGCTGGGGATTGAACCAGGTTTGGCCACATGCAAAGCAAGCACCCTACCCGCTGTACTCTCTCTCTGGCTCCAATCACTGAAATTTTTCTGTAACATAAATCTGAGCATTTCCTTATCTTGCCTTCTGCTTAGATCTTTGGCCATGTCCCCACAAAAGTCTTTTTCGCTCCAATCAAACTGACTTACCTCATTTGCTCATTGCTCTTTCATGCCTCTATGTTATGAACATGGTGCTTCCTTTGGCTGAAAACCCTTCTTGCCTCTTTCACTTACACGACACAGTTTGGAGTCATTTTCTTGGACTTCTTCCTTAACCCTCTAGTGAGCTGTCACTGCACTCTTATCAGTGGTTCTCAAAGTATGGAAATGCAAACACTAGGGCCTCACTCCAGTTTTCCTTAGAAAATCTGGGCTGGGGCTCTAATACAGTTGTAAAGCACATACATACATGCCCTGAGAGCCCAATCTTCAGCACTGTGGTGGAAGAAAAGAATTCTGGATGTAGTTCAGCAGCAGAGGGCATACCCTGCACACAAAAGACCTGGATCTGGGAGCTAGAGAGAGTCCAGCAGGCACAGCTCTACCAGTTCAATCCCCAGCACCCTATAGACATCCCACATCTGTCAGGAGTCATCCCTGAGTTCAGAGCCATAAGCCCAGGGTACACCTGGGGACGACCCCAAACAAACAAAAAACAAAGAAGACACGCGTTCAATCCCTGCAACACACACACACACACACACACACACACACACACACACACACACACACACACCCCACCAAAGAAACATCCTGGGTGCTGGTTCAATCTACACATTTACAAGTTGCACATGAGTTTAAGAACCACTAATCTGGAAACCACACCTGATGAGTAATTACTGCTCAAATCAATGGCACTTTTGCTTCTCTTCCTACTCTGTAAGTAGCTTGAAGATAGGAATTCTGTCTTATCCCCAGAAGCCAAGACAAAAGGCACTCAACAAATATTTGCCGAACAGATTATAGGGCTACACACCCACACGGTCATGATTAATGACAGAGAAGAGAGTTCAGATGGTGAATTCTACAGCTAACCTCTGAAGGAAAGTTGCCTAGGACCAGCAGGGAGGACTGAAGACATAGCCCAAGAGGCTAGTGCTCTGTTCAATTTCCAGCATCAAAGGTCCCCCAAGCACCAGTTGCGAGCCTTAGCAATGTACTCAGGTACTCATGTAGCCCCACCTTACTGACAATATATGTGGCCTAAAAAACAAATTAAAAAATAGAAAAGGGGACCAGAGATACAGCACCACAGGTAAGGCACTTGTCTTACACAGTCAGTCAACTCAGGTCAATCCCTTATACCACTACATGCAGTTCCCCGAGCCCTGGTAGGAGTAATCCCTGAGTGCAGTCAGGAGTAAGCGCTAAGCACAGCTGGGTGTGGCTCCATACCAAAGAAAACAAAAAAGAGGGGCCAGAGAGACTGCACAGGGGTTAAGGCACTTGTCTTACATGCGGTCGAAACGCTTCAATCCTGGTTCAATACCCAGCACCACATATGCTCTCCTGAGTGAGCACTGCCAAGAAAGACCCCTGAACAGAGTCAGGAGTAAGGAAGGAATAAGGCACCGAAACACAAGCCATTCTGTGCCCCCTGAGAGAGGAGGGGCATGGGGGGAGAGGGGGAAAAGGGGGAGAGAGAGAGAGAGAGAGAGAGAGAGAGGCGCCACTGTGACCAGAGCAAGTCTCACTCTGAAGATAGATACAATACACAGTCACAGTAAAGGCAGAGTGACAATAATCAAGAGTACATACCAACCCAACACTTGAAATGTACAGAAGATTAACAGGCCATGGGGGGGGGGGGGATGGACGAGTGGAATAGGATGGATCCCGTGGCAGGCACCAAGCTCCCTGGACACCGACTTACACCACCACGGGAGAGAGAACGTGCACGTAGAGACACAGGCTACAGAGATCAGCAAATAAAAGTATGCAAGGATGGTTCTTCCTGCACTCAGCAGCCCAGTTACCTCCTCGAGTCTGTGGTATTAAGCAAGTGCCCGTCTGGAGCAGAAATGTCCAAGGATTTATAACACCCGAGTGCCAAATAGGTAAATGAGCACACAGCTCCCAGAATATACTGCCAGCAGAATTATGAAATAGTATGCATAACTAGAAGCACACAGCACATCATGTGAAGGGCCATGCACATGGGCGGTGAGGTGATGGGGAAAACACCAGGAGCGGAAAGGCGAATCCGCCAACCACAAATGCAGACCTGCTGGTCAGTGAAGACACAGGATCCTACACATGGAGATGATTTCACATGGTGGGACCATGGACAGAACATGAGCCCAAATAAAATAAAAGTCAAATCTACACATGCATCAGTGTGCAAGAAATAAGAAATCCCCTGAACAAATTAAAAAAAGAGGAAAATTCACACATTTCAAACCTGGAGTGAGACATGAACATAGGATAGTATGGGCAATCCTGATGGAAAATAACATCATTTCTCTATAGCCCATGGTAAACCAAAGCAACCCGGCTGCAAACAAGTCAATAACCACGTCAAAGGCACAAAATCAATGTAGAAAAAAACGCCCCCCTCCCCCTGCTCCAGGCAGTCTGTGTGTTAGTAAGAGTCTAGCCACCCTGTGGAAGGCCACGAGAGGTCCAAAGAATGAAAAGAGAGGTACTGTGCCTAGATGGAAATAGGGTGCCTGAGGGCATTCCTAGGAAGCCAACTGCTGGAGGAAGGAGAGCAGTAAACCACCTTCTCCCTGCCACAACCCCCCCCCCCCCCAACACACACCCCCCAAGAGTCATGTGGGGCCACAGAGCAGGAAGAGGAATTTGGGAAAGTGTCAGAAATTTCCTTTCCAGGATTCCCTGTCCACACCCCCATCCCAAATTCGCAGCTCTCCATCTCTCCTCCTCCCTTTTGTAGCTCGTCCCACCCTCCTCCCTCTCAGGCCCCCTCTTTCTCCCAGCAGCCCTCTCCCAGTTGGCCCAGCTCTTCCCCAGCAACCCTCTCCCCCGGTCCGCCCTCCCGGACCCGGACCCCCGTCCCCTCCCTCCTCCCGGGCCCTTTCGGCACCCTCCTCCCTCGGCCTCCCATCCCTTTCCCGCCCCCACCTCAATGGGGTGGGGGGCCTGGGGGTCTGGCCCCCTCCCCAGCCAGGCTGCAGCAGCGGTGGTGGCGGGTGGCTGTGTCTCCGCCTCGGTCGGGGTGTCGGTGCCCAGGGGCGACAGGACTTGGGGGTGTCCTAGCCCCGGCCGGTGGAGGGGAGGTGAGATTGGGAGGCTGGGCCCATAGCGGTAGGAATGGTGGGGGGTTGTCCCCCCAGCTCCCTCCCTCCCTCCCTTCCTGCTGTCTCTGAGGGCTGGGGCTGCTGCTGCCGCTATCCCCCCCACCCCTCCCCTCCGCCTGCTGGTTTCCGGGGCTGGCCAGGAAGTAGGGGGCGGTGATGGGCGGCCTGTTTTGCCAATCGCTTCCCAGCGACCCAGGCGGCTCCTTCCCACATCTCCCCAATCTCCCGTCGCTCGCTCGCTCGCACCCGGGAGAGAGCTCAGCTGGGCGAGCCTCCGGCTGGCCCAGGCGGAGTCCAGCTGTGTCTTTCCCCTGCGACTCCTTTTCGGCACACATGGCTTGCGTTTCGGTGCGCTGCTGCTTCCTTAGCCCTCCGCTTCCTGCTGGTCCTATTCGCGCTCTCTCCTGGCCCCCTTCCTCCCAGATCTGCTGCTTCCCTCCAAGCCAGCGCTTCTCCCGGGACCTCTTTCCCCGAGCCCCATTCAACTCCTAGTATTTAAAGCACCTACAATGTCCCAAGCAGATGTCTCCAGGTGTCTTCTCTCTCTCTCTCCCTAGGGCTCCATCGCTCCCCACTTCGCCCTCCAGACCTGTCGTGAGGTCCTCTTGCCCTTTGTCCCCAGCTCTTCCACCAGTCCTGCCCCCTTTTACCCCCTGCTTCGAAAGGGAGAAGCACTTTCGAGGCGGCCCCCTTTCCCATACAAGCCTTTAAAGCCCTGTTCCCAGCTCTTCCTTGGTACCCCCTTCCTAACGGTCTCCTCACTTAAAGCCCGAGCTAAGACTTAAAGTCCTTCCCACGTTACATTCCGGGCGCACCGTTTCTTCTAGCGGAAATTGGGTATTTAGCATTACCTCCTTTTTCGGGGTGGGGGGAGAAAACGAGGAAGAATGTGGGTTCCTTGGCAGTGAGCACGCCTCCGTGATTCTGTAACTGCGGCTCGAGCTCCCGCACCAGCCCGTGCCCCTCTCTCCCTGACTCCCATTATACCTTGAACCGGGATCATTCCATCACTCTTCCCTCTTTTGGCCTCCAACTCTTCCCCCTCAAGTCACTTTCCCTCCCTCCCCCTCCCCCCCCCCCCCAAGTCTCTTAGGGTTTCTTGAGCCCTCACCTTCCCTGCCCTCCTCTGGGAAACGTCCAACCCCTCACTTGAGTCACATGGGGCCTTCGGATCGGGGTGTTGCAGAACAGCCCCTCCCCCCGACACACCTTTGCCCTGCAGGAGTTTACACGCCCTGAGGAGATGCAGTGAACTCGGGCAGCGGGAGGGCTGTTACCTAGGTCGGCTCCTGGGGCCACCGTGAGGGTTACTGTAGGAAAAGCCCAGACTCGGAAGAACAGGCGCCAGCTCTGAAGCGGCTTGCCCAGGTCCCGGGGGTCCAGCCCAGGAGGAAGCCCCCCGCTCTGCGGGGCGAGGGACTGAGGAGAGGAAGGGGCGGGTCTAAGCCGTGGCGCTGCGGGTCGCCCGAGACTTGGGGCGGGTCTTGCCCCTCGGGCGCCCCCCACTCACAAAGGGGTGGGGCGCGCCTGCAGTTTCAGTCGGAGTCGGGGTCGACCCCCGTCCCGCTCGGCGTCACATGATGGGGGGGGGGGCGGGTGAGCCTTTCGTTCCGCTGGACTCTATAAATCACCTAGCAAGGGGCGGGCTGAGTCGTCCAGCCGAGCGAGAGGGGTTAACGCCAGCGCCGCAGACCGACGCTCTCACCATCCAGGCGCCGGGCTAATCCCAGTCGTGCTCCCTTCTTCACTGAGAGGGAGGGGACGACCCAAGTTCTGGTCCCTACGTCACCGAAGGAGGCCGGAGCCATTTTGAACCCCGCGACCCCAGTGTTTGCTTTCTTTTCTAGGTCTCCGCCGTCTTTCCCGAGCTCAGCCAATCGGGGTCGAAGGAAACGGCCCAATCAGCGGCCCAATCAGAGGCCGCCGCCGGAGGACCCGGATGAGGCCCAGCCGAGGCCTTTGAACCCCCCAAGTCCCGCCAATTGTAAAGCAGTTACCATGGCGACACGTCAGAAGTGAAAGGGTGGGACCAGGAAAGGCGCGACCCCCTGGGGGATTGGCCCGGCCTTTCCCGCCACCCACTGCGCACGCGCCTAGCGCCTAAAAACCACCATTTTCCAGGGCGTTCTAGCCAATCGGTTGCTTTGGAGCGATACGCTCCAAAGTCCAATAGGAATCCGGACATTCTATGAAAGAGGAAGTGAAGGGAAGGGGGTGGTTTATCGCGAGCGACGTCTGTTTCGGACAAACCAATTGCTTCTGGCCCGAGTGATGACTGGCAGCTACTCAGACGAATAGAGCCCTCCTTGACGGGGCAAAACGTCGGGCGTCGTCACCAATCCGAAGGCACTGCATACTGACCGAGCCCGGAAGGACCAATAGCATTTGCCAGGGCAGCACCTCACAAACCTCTTTCCACTCCCACCCCGTGAGCCAATCCTTTCTTCGTAACCCGATTGACGGGCAGGCAAACGGACCAATCGTGTGGGAAACCTTGAAGCCGGCCCCAACGATCGCGGGCAGGAGGCGGTCTCTCGTTGGTTGGGGCGTGTGTGTGTATGTGTGTTTGGGGGGACTGAGGGGCTCTCGGGGGGCGAAACCGGAGCGACCATGGCAGCGGCGGAGGAGGAGGACGGAGGCCCCGAAGGGCTAAATCGCGAGCGGGGCGGGGCGGGCGCGACCTTCGAATGTAATATATGTCTGGAGACCGCTCGGGAAGCGGTGGTCAGTGTGTGTGGCCACCTGTACTGGTGAGAACCCGGGGAGTGCTGCTTACCTTTCCACCGGGGAGCCTGCGGATGGGGGGCTCCTATAATTCTGCCGAGGACCGGAGGGCACACCCCCATAGGAGAGGTCCGAGGAGGGGACTTTGTGAGTCTTGTCGGATCTGTGTGGGCGGAAGGGTCCTCCGGGTCCAGACCGGACCCAGGGGGCGTGTCAGCGCGCTTCTGTCCGGGTGAGACCCGAGCCATCTGATCCCAGGGACGTCTCGGCCGAACGGTAGGACGGAGTCGCAGATAGAACCGGGGAGGCGCACGTCAGTTGAGTGGGGGAGACCTAGGGGAATGTGGAATCCCTTGCAGGTGAGACGCGGGAGCGAGGGATGGGACGAACTTGGGGACGAGAGCGCTGTGGAGGGGACGCCCGAGAGAGTGAAGGGTTGTGGAAATGGGAAGCTGATTTGTCCTGGCAAAGAGAAAAATGTAGAATGTAGAGTGGGTTGGTTTGGGCGTGATGGAAATCAGAATGGGGCCAGGCTGAAGAGATCCAGGAAGGAGAGTTTGAAGAGAACTGGGAATAAGTGTGTGTGTGTGTGTGTGTGTGTGTGTGTGTGTGTGTGTGTGTGTGTAGCCTGGTAATGCTGTAGCTTTCCGTATTGGAAGATCAAATAAGTGTGTGTGTGTGTGTGTGCAGCCTGGGAATGATGTAGCTTTCCGTATTGGAAGATCAAATAAGTGTGTGTGTGTGTGTGTGTGTGTGTGTGTGTGTGTGTGTGTGCGCAGACTGGATGTAGCCTTCTGTATTGGAAGATCAGAGAGGCAGGAAGGCCAGGTTGACTGGCATGCTAGACGTTTAGAAATTAGGAAAAGAAACAGCAGGTGCTGCCTGGGATTTTGCAAGAGTGAGACTCCGAAGTTGGGTCTGGGACTCTCTTTCCTTTTTCAGGAAATGACCAGTCATTCTTTTCTTCCCCCCACGCAGTTGGCCCTGTCTTCATCAGGTGCGTAGTCAGAGGACGTGAAGAGGGAAATGGGGGGTCTGAGGAGCTGGAAGAACCCGCTGTATACTGGAAACCACTTCGTTTTTCCCTCCAGTGGTTGGAGACCCGGCCCGACAGGCAAGAGTGCCCAGTGTGTAAAGCTGGGATCAGCAGAGAAAAGGTCATCCCCCTGTACGGGCGTGGGAGTCAGAAGCCCCGGGATCCCAGGTGAGCAAGATGGGAGTTGGCAAGGGGGGACGGTGGGAGGGGACGGCCTGCCTGGGGTGGGGCGTGGGAAAGAACCTTGCCTATGGATGACCACTCTCCTCTTTCTCAGATTGAAAACTCCACCCCGCCCCCAGGGCCAGCGCCCAGCTCCGGAGAGCAGAGGGGTGAGTCTTGGCTGATTGTGTTCCTTCCTTGCCCAAGGTTTGCCCGCTTCCCCTCTGACTTTCTCCACCTCCCTAGGGATTCCAGCCTTTTGGTGATACCGGCGGCTTCCACTTCTCGTTTGGTGTTGGTGCTTTTCCCTTTGGTTTTTTCACCACTGTCTTCAACACCCATGAGCCATTCCGTCGGGGTACAGGTAAGAATCCTGCCCTCTGATCCTCCCCGGGAACCTTCGGAATCCTTTCAGGCTTCCCGGAGTGGTTACTCCCACTGCTTTCTTCTTCCTACAGGTGTGGATCTGGGACAGGGTCACCCGGCCTCCAGCTGGCAGGACTCCCTCTTCCTGTTCCTCGCAATCTTCTTCTTTTTCTGGCTGCTCAGTATTTGAGCCGTGTCTGCTTTCTACCCACCTCCAGCCAGAGGAAAATCAGTATTGGGGGTCCTTGCTGACCCACCCTTCCCCCTGGACCCTCCCTCCTGCTCCTCCAGTCCTGTTGGCTGAGGCCACTCTCCAGGAAGGTGTGGAGAGGAGTCACAGCTGAACCTTGGATGGGAGGCCCTTCTGCTCGGAACTGCTTACTCAGTAGCAGCACCTTCGCCGCTGTGGGAGAGGACAGGCCAGAACGGCCGCATCTCCCCCTTCCGGATCCCTTGCCTCCCCCCACATTTCTTCAGCTGATGTTGAAAGGTGGGCAAGGCTCCCTTACTCTCCCCCACTTTCCCCTTTGTTGATTTAATTTAATTTTCCTCTCCCCAGTGTCTATTATGGGTTTCGACTCTTACGTGCTTCCTTCCCTAACTACCTCCTTGATTACATGTTCAATAAACAAGGTGAGCCGTATTGATGGGCACCCTCGCCCCTTTGTCCTCTGCTCCTTCCTAACCAAGCCTGGAGTACCTTCTCCCCAGATGTGCTCTGAAGCCCCAGGGGTGAGCCCCTTTTCCTTTTGAGGTTCTCAGGTTGCACGAGGTGCTCTCTCTCTCTCTCTCTCTCTCTCTCTCTCTCTCTCTCTCTCACACACACACACACACACACACAAGCAAACGGGCCCATGGATGTGTCAGGTGTTTACTCATCACTGTCTGTGGGTGGCTCTGGTTGCAGCAGAAGGGTCAGGAGGTAGGGTAGAGATTACATAGGGGAAGGTCAGTTGGGGGGGTCACGACAGTGCAGGAGAAAAGGGGAGCTGCTGGTGGCCGGGTCTGGCTGAGGGACCCTCACGGTCCTCCTGCACTGCTGCTCTCGGGCGCCTCAGCTTCCCCCGACTGCTTCAGCTCTGCACGCTCCTCCACCTCCTCCTGGTGTTCTGGCACTTTCCTGGGGAGGAGGATTGGGGAGAATTCTGTACATGGTTTCAGGCACTCTGACATTCTTCACCCCACACCCGCTCCTTGCTGCCCAAGAGCCCCAAGTCCAAGATGCCTGCCTCACCCCGCTCACCTCTCTGCTCCTCGGCGCCGGCGCCGCCTTTGCCACATGATGATCCCAATGAGCAGGGCAGCTGTCCCCAGGCCTCCGAGAACCCCTAGGCCCAGGGCTAGAGTTCCCAGCCCGGGTTCCTCCTCAGAATCTGTGGGGAGATGGGAGATGGGAGAATGAGGGCACAGACCCCACACCTCACCGTTCCTCTCTCGTCAGAGTGGAGGCTGCCCGCCTCTGATACCCCACACCTGCAGATGGCCACTCCTCACCTGTGTCTGGAAGGCCTCGATGGAGCGAGTCAGGACAGTCTTAGTGGGTGCCCCATTGGGAGTTTAGCCCTTTCCTCAGTTCAGAGGGGAGAGGAATCAGGCTGGGCCGCTTTCTTGGTGGGGTTTGGGTGAGGCCGAGAAGGCCCAGGTGTGGGCACATAAGGATGGCTGGGAGGAGGGGGGGGTGCCTCCTGGGGCCAACGCCTGAGTGGGGTAAGGAATTGGAGTCTGCACTGCCCAGCCCTGGGGAGCTGGGGGTTCAGGGAGAGGTCTCACCGATGAGGCTGATGGTGACAGCACGACTTTCCTGGGGCCCGTGGCTGGGATGGGTGACCACACAGCTGTAGGTTCCCTGGTCCTGAGGCCCTACCTCACTGAGAAGCAGCACGGGGTTGGGGGACTCGGGCAGTGGCATGCCCTGGTGGGGGAAAGCGGACGGTGGCTGTTGTAACCCCCGTCCGCACATCCCTACTCCTTCGTCTCCACGGTTTCAGACACCCTGCCTGCCTCCCCGCTCACCTACCTCTCCCTCCAGGCGCCCTCTGCCCACCTAGTTGGCACTTGGCATCTTTCTGCCTCCCCACTCCCTCTCCAGGTGACTCACATCCTTGATCCAGTGGATTTGAGGGGCAGGGGCTTCACAGGTCAGGGTCACAGTACCACCGGGGGCTACTGCCCCACCTTCGGGCTCCACTAGCAAATGAATCTCTAGGGGCACAGGCTCTGGGGGTGGGAAGGGCGCGGGGTGGAGAATTACACATATTACATCATCCTGGCAATGCTGGCTTTACCCTTCCCTCCTGAAGGCCAAACTTTCAGAATATGCTCCCTGGAGCTTGGGGCCCTTCCCACCTCTGTGCTCACCCCCGAGCTGGAGGGGGGCCGAGTGAAGGACACGGCGCCGGGGAAGGCCCGGATTGAAGCTACAGGAGAAGGTGGAGCCGGGCAAAGCTTCTCCCTCTTCTAGGGTCACCATCAGCTCAGACTGAAGGGTGAAAAGCCCTGTCTCTGGGTGTTGTATGGTCTCCTCCTTCACAGACACACCTGTGGTGGGAGGAAGACAAGACATCCAGGGTGAGTATAAGACAAGGATCAGAAAGATGGTGAGGGGCCTGGAGCAATGACACAGCGGATAGGGTGCTTGCCTTGTATGTGGCCCACCTGGGTTCTACCCGACATCCTATGTGGTCCCCAAAGCACTGCCAGGAGTAATTCCTGAGCACAGAGCCAGGAGTAAACCCTGAGCATTGCTGGGTGTGACCCCTAAAACAAACCAAAAAACTCAACAAAAAAATGCGGCCAGAGCAATGGTACCATGGGTAGGGCATTTGCCTTACAAGTCACCTACCCGATTTTGATACCTACACCCAAGTTCATACGGAGTGATCCCTGAGCATTGTCCATAGTAAGCCCCTGAGCACCACCAGGTGTGGCCCAAAAATGAATAAAAAAAAGATGGTGGGTGGCTGGCTTAGAAGCTGGAGAGAGCTCAGTGGTCTGGGTGCATGCTTTGCATGCTGGAGCCCCAGGTTCGATCCCTGGCACGGCCTGTCCCCTAAGCACCATTGGGTGTGGCCCAACCAGGGAGTGGTTTGAAGGGTTGGAGCATATGCTTTGCATGCAGAAGTTCCTGAGTTTAAGTCCCAGGCCCAGCATGGTCCCCAGAGCACTGTGTGGGGAATAACTGAGGTGGCTGAGTGGGGGACACTGGGATTTACCTTTTTCATCAGGTACCAGGGGTTTTCCATCGAGGAGCCAGCTAAGGGTCCCTTCAGGGTAGCCCCCTCTGGACACACATGTCCCCACCTAGGGAAAGGGGTGACATCATCTGAAACCAAGACTCCATACACACCCACACTGCCCCTCTCCCTGCCCATTTTCACGACCACTTCCTACTTCTCGGTTTCTACTACCTTGTTGGAGACACCAGCCTTGATTTCTAAAGCAGGATCAACAATTTCTGGCTTCCTGGGAGGCTCTGAAGGGAGGATAAACACAGTCAGAAGAGGCTTCTCATGCCTCGGTGTGGAAACGCGCAGTGGAGGCCCACAGCTTTGTTATATGCCAGGGAGCTGAGACTCTGAGGCGAGAGGTGGGCCTCCAAGAAGGCCCTGGGGCCCTTACCATACACTCGGACTTGGTAATTGGACCTGATCTCTTTTCCACTTCTGCTCACTGCCCGGCACTGGAAGGTCCCCTCATCTTGTATCTCAACAGCTGGCAGGAGGAGGGAGCCATTAGGGAGGATGCGAGCCACATTGTCCCAGGAGGTTTCATGGGGATTCAGGACCTTCCAAGCCTCTGTTCGACCCGTGTTCTGGGGACAAGAGTAGAGCATCAGTAGCACAAGGCCTCTGGAAAGGACCGATGAGGCAGGGAGGTGGGGATGCAGATTGAATCCAAGGAGTGTCCTTCCAGAAATGGGAGCCCAACTCACCAGTTTCCATTCCGGCTGCTGCTGCGGCTGTTTTCTGGGGATTCCCTTGCATTTCAGCATCAGTGATTTCCCGATCCGGGCTGTGATGTTCTGACCTCCGACTACTGCCCCTGGGAGACAGCACCAAGGTAAAAGGGGCAAGGAAGGGAAAGGGGGGCTATATTAAGCCAGGACAGGGAGAGGGAGCTTGAAACCAATGCCTAGGTTCCTGAAAGTTCTGGGGAGATTTGGGGAATACAGAGATCTTCAGTTGAGAGAGGGGGAGGGTTAGCTCACCCCACAGACTAAGGACCAGCACCCAGGTTCCAGCCGCTGCCCTTGCTGCCATCCTGCTGCTTGCCTGGGCTCCCGGCTCTGTGTGAGCCTCTCAGCTGCTGAGACAGACGCCCTAGGTGGGGCTTGCACCCCAGCCCCTGCCCCCAGCTCCCATCCTGGCCGTCACAGGGAATGCTAGGAATTCCTGCCTCTCCGACAAGAGTCCTTCAGGTACTAAGAGAAACAATTATCACCCCGCCCCTGGGCACTGCCAGCCTCTGGACACCACATCCATGGGGGTGGGGAATACACCTCCCAGTCATGCCTGAGGGTGGAGGGGGGTAGTCCAGCCCGTTGCCTCAGAAGTCAGAGCAAATGACCCCAGAAGCTCCGTCCTGAATAAGCAAGGTTGGTAGGCCAACCAGGGTTCAGGGGCAAGTTTCCAGTAGAGAAAGGCAAAAGGGTTTGAGGCCTGGGGGGTGAGGGAGAGGCTTTCTGGGGGGGGGGGGGGGGGTGAAGGGCAGCAGCCCAGAGGTAAAACCCTTGATGACACTTGATGAGGAAAAAAAAATTATTTTTCTGAAATTTTTTTAAAATTTCTATTTTTGAAAAAAAAATTCTCAACTAAACCCAGGGAAAAAAGAAATTTCTTTATTTAAAATTGCAGTTTTTTTTTTCCTGTGAAACTACAAGTTTACAATGAGGAGAGAACTGCCCCAGGCCCACACCTTCCCGCCCCAACCCATCACATTCCCGAACTGCCCCAATCCTGCCCAGATCTTGGATGGGAGGAGTTTCCTAGTATGACAGTCTTGTTATAATCCTGAGGGTGTTTGAGGGGTTCAGATGGTAGGGTTCAGGACCAAGGATGGGACAATGGTCATTTTTCTTTCCCCATACCTGGCTTTTGCAACCTCCCTCCTCTCGATTTTGGACTGAGAAAAAAAGATACCTCATTTCTGGGGAAATTGAGGAAGATACAGACACAAGCACCCAAACGGATATTTAACATATTTGGCAATAACCCCCTCCCCATTCTTCTTCCCCCTCCAATCTGCAGAGTAGTGAAGATTCAAAGGCATGTCACTCACAGGGGAAGGTGGCATCTCTGAGGTGCTATTTCCTCAAAACAACCGAGTCCAACCTTGTGGGGAGGGGGGCTAGCCCAGAAGAGCAAGCCACAATGCCTCGCACAAGCCAACACCGATGTGATTTTACAAGCGAAGGAAAACGTTTAAGTGATTTGGAGGGGGGGGAGGCGGAAGCTTGGTGCCCTGCTAAATCTATTTCCTGATGGCCAGGACTGGAGCAAGGTGGGTCTCTTTACCGGTTCTACTTGTTCCCCTTTCTCTCAGACCCCTTTGGCTATCACCCCTAATATGGGAAAGCAAGAAATTAAAAAAAAAATCAACGTATTTATAAAAACATCTACTTCCCAAAACTAAAAATTAAGAACAACAAACCAAGAAATAATAATAATTAAAAAAAAAAGTTACAGATGGATCCCAGGGTTTAATTTTCTTTCCTTTGAAAAAAAAAAAAAGTTCAACCCCAAAGCCCAGTCAACAATCAATCCCTAAAGTAGCAGAAACTCCCTCCGAGGTAGATATCTGAGTCAGACACTCTCGTCCACCGAGCAATTCTATTGGTTTAAGATGAGCTGCGTATGAGGTAATAAAGCCATCTGGAGGGGCGGAGGGCAGGGAGGCACAGGGGGCGTGGCATCCTCTGTCCAGAAGCTGTGCCCCCATTTTTGGCATCTCTGGTCAGACAGGGCTGGCGTCTCCACAGATCCCAGAGCTTAGAGAAGTGGGGTGGGGGAGCCCAGAGAGAATGGTTATATACCGTGTATGTGAGAGAAAGGAAGGATCTGGAGACAGGATTCTGGGAGTGTTTTTCAGTGTGGGAGAAAAGGGGGGAGAGAAAAGACTGAGAATCGGGGGAGAAAGACACCATTCTCCCCCCCTTCGTGAACCCCGTTCTCCCTGCCATGTAATCAGCATCCCAGCACTGAGATTCCGGGCGGGGAGGCAATGACCCCATTCGCCCTCAGTCTTGTGCTTCTTCCGTGGCTGGGGCTTGTCCTCTGGATGCCTGCGTCCTCTCAGAGTCGCCTGGTGAGACACCACCCCTGTGGCCCCGAGGGGGGCCAGTTCAGTTGGAAGTGTCAGAGTGAACGCTCCCTGGTCCCTCTGTCGGGGATGTCACTGAGGATGGGGTCACAGCCTCCTGCCAGCCACCATTTGCCTAGAAAAAAAGAGGGCGGGCTCAGAGAACTGCCCCATACCACCAGGGAACGGGCCCTCCCATGCAGTCAAGGAAAGGAGGGTTCCGGGGATCTACTCACCCTCATTTCCCGAGGGCTGTACATCTGGCCTCCCCCGAGGTTATCCCCGTAGCCTCCTGCCCCCATGGAGTGTCGGAGAGATTCCACCTGCAGCCACAAGGAGAGGGGGGGTCACTGAAATGCGTCCGAAGGAAAAAAAAAAAACAACTTCCAGTGCTAAGGGGAGGTCTGGAAGCTGGGACATGGGCCTGACCTGAGAGGCAGAGTAGGAATCTCCATTGAGGCCGGGCATTCCCAGAAACATGTCTCCAGATCCTGAGAGGTTGAAAGAGCCGCCAGAGCCTTGCAGGAGACGAAGGGAAGAATAGATCAGAGTCCATGAGGGCAGGCAAGAAACCCACCAAAGTTTTGTTTCCCCAAATCCTGAACTCTGTGGGGGCACATCCTTACATTCCACAAAACAACACACTGCCAAGATAGTGTCCAACAGTAACACACTTGCCTTGCATGTGGCCATGCCCAGTTAGGTGAGCCCCAGCATGCATAAGCCTGGAGTAGCCTCCAAGTACCACTGGGTGTGGCACCAACCCACCACCCTCCCCATCCTCCAAATAAGAACAAAATGCTGCCATATTCAGGAAAAAAGTTCATATTCAGAGGTGGTTCCTGAGTCTGCCTGGCCACATATTGTAAGAAAAAGTGGACAGGGGCTGGAGCAATATAGCACAGCAGGTAGGGCATTTGTCCTGCACACGGCCAACCCGAGTTCAATTCCCAGCATCCTATATGGTCCTCTGAGCACCTCCAGGAGTAATTCCTGAGTGCAGAGCCAGGATAACCCCTGAGCATTGCTGGGTGTAACCCCAAAATAAAATAAAAATGAATTAAAAAAAAAAAAGACACCAGAATAGTCCCCATCCCGACACTGCCATCCCTCCTCAGTTTAGTCCCTTGACCCCCCCGCCCAAAGGTACCCTCTTGGCTATGACCCTGCCTAGGAGGGTGTGGGAACAAAAGCAAGAAGTAAAAGAGCCAGCCAAGGGGGCCAGCGAGCTCCACCTGCAGAGGAAGGGGGTGTCGGGGAGCTGGTACGGCTGTGGCCCCCCTGGGTAACTGACACGGCCGTCTTCACGGCATAGATGTTTGCCTCTTCTTGGAACTTCCCGATATTTTTCTTATAGCGAATCCGCTTGTTACCAAACCAGTTGGAGACCTGTGGGGCATTGGGCAGAAAGGACAGTCAGGTGGACACGTTCCCTCGGGAAGTGAAGGCAGAGCCTTTCACACGCGTGCTCTGCCCGGTTACCTGAGACACGGTGATTCCGCACTTCTTGGCGAGCTCCTCCTTAGCCTCCTCGCTAGGATATGGGTTACTCAGGTGGGAGTAGAAATACTCGTTTAGAACTTCAGTGGCCTGTTTGCTGAAGTTACGGCGCTTTCGCCTGCAGAGAGAAGGCAAGGGTGTTGAGGTCAGTGGGTTCCATCTTGCATAAGCGCAGGGGACACCCCTCTCAACGGTACTGTGCAGTGCAGTGTGGCGGTCCAGGGGCTTGGAGAATGGAAGACGCGAGGTACAGAGAAGGCTCCGGGTCCTACCTGGCATCCAGGAAGCGGGAGCGCAGGATCATGACGGCCTCGCAGGTGCTCTGCTTCAGCTGCATCTGGATGGCACTGAATTTCCGGTGGATGATGCTCACCATGCGCTCCATCTCCTTGGGGGCCACAGGCCGTGTGCGGCTCTGCTCCCTCAGCAGGTTCATGACATGGGTCGTGAACTCGTTACAGGCCTGCAGGGAGGGCCGGTAGCCTGGTGAGGTGCCCTCTGCCCTTGAGATGCCCCCCCTACCACCACCCCGAGAATCTTCCTTCTGCCCACCGCCGCCTCCTCTCCTCACCTGCTCATACTTCTCCAGCTCTGAGTGGTAGATGTGGCGGATCTGGGCGAGTTTGCTGCGATAGTCCGAGTGTTCGATGGAGTTGTCAGGGGACACGCCACCCCCGGAGGCGGCTGCTGCTGCCGCTGCGGCAGCCGAGCCCCCTCCTTTCTCAGGCCCCGCGACACCCTCGGCGAGAAGCATGTTGTCCAAGCGCATCAGCTGGGGGTCCACCGGTTCTTCCTCTTGGGAGCTTCGGATGCTGAGGCCTAGCACGCAGGCAAGTGGACTTAGGGGCATAGACCCCCCACATCTGCAAGCTTTGGTTCCCCCCAGGCTGCGTTAGTCACCTCCCGAGTCCCTTCACTCTCAGAGCCCCAAGTCCCAAACTCTTAGCCCAGGTTCACAGGTGAGTGGGGCGCTGGGCCCCGTGAGGAATCACACGGCCCCACATACCCGTTTTCTCCTTGATTTCACACAGGACGCTGAAGAGTGCAGGCTTCATTCGGTGGCAATTCAGGGCATGTTTCCTTGGGACAACAGGAGACAAAAGTCGAGACCATACCAAGACAGCGACGGGTGGGTATCACTGGGGATGAGGGGAGCCCGGGAACAGGGGAGCTAGGTAAATCGGAGGCTGAATGGGGCTGGGGGTTCCTGGGAAAAGGTCCGCTCCCAGAGTCTGAAGATGTGGGGGAAGCAGCTTGGCTTCAGGAGACGGAGGGATGATGCCCACAAGACTTAAGGGGACTAGGGTCGGCTGCGGGAGACAATCCCAAAGAACACAGGGGGAGGGTCTGGGGGTGGCTGCAGAAGTGAGGGTGACTATGTAGATTTCTGAGAGAGGCCCGGAAAAGCGGCAGGAGTTTGAGATGCAAGGGGCTAGGGGTGTGAGCTCCAGTAGAGAGTTCAGTGTAGCTGTATGTGAAGGGTCCTGGGGCCAGGGGCAGAGCCGAGGCTCTGCAGCTCCCCCACTCCGCAGGGGGCGAGACCCCTGGAAGCTAGGTCGAGACTGGAGAGGCACCAGTGCAGGGCTCTGGGTCCTGAGGCACGGGTGGGCTGGGTGGAGTTGGGAAGGGGACAGCGAAAGCAGTTTCTTAGTCTGGCGGGGGAGGGTCAGGGGAGGGAGGGTCAGTGAGAGGTTAGGAAGGGGCGCGACGACCTGGGGGTTCCCTCTCTGAAGGTTTCAGGGGCTGGGATGAGGGGAGGTTGCAGAGGAATCACTTATCTCGGGGCTCCCCAGGGGTAAGAAGAGGATCCAGGAGTTGGGGGCAGGGGGGCGCTTCCCGGAAGATTCAGAGCTTGTGAATGGGGTTTCGGCCGGTCAGTGCGGGGTCCCGGGGTGGGGGCACTCACTTGGCCTGGGCTTCGTCCAGGCTCTGGTCGGTGATGGTCATTATCTGCTGCAGAATGTCCCCGATGTCTTGCTTCCCTCGGCCTCCCGGGACCCCCCCGCTACCCCCACCGGGGTCTCCGGCGCCGGGAGGCTCTCCAGGGCCCCCCGTCTCCCCACCCACCAATCCCAGGCCCCCCCGGCCCCCGCCCGGAGGGGGCGGCCCCAGCAGCCGCTCGTCCATAGTTGGGGGGGGGGCCCTGAGGCCCCCTCCCTGCTCCGCCCCTCCCCCCGCCTGGTTACTTCCCCCCCGAAACTCGCAGGGGCCGCTGCTCCCTCCGCCCCAACCCCCGCCCGTCTCCCTCGCTCCCGTCTCCCCCGGGGGTTCACCCCGGCCCGGAGGGAGACCTGGGGTACCGTCTGGGTCCCCCACAGGAGACCCCGGCCCCCGGCGGCGGAGAAAATGGAGCCGGAGAGAGAGAGAGGAGGCCCAAGCGGGGGTGTGTGTGCGAGAGAGGGAGGAGGGCGGAGGGAGCAGGGGGAGCGAGGGAGGAGGCTGGGGGAGGGGAGCCGGGAGGAAGAGGAGGGGAGACGAGAGGAGGAACGGGGAGGAGCTGGGGGCGGGGAGAGCCGCGCAGAAACCCCGGCGCCGAGGCCGGGTGGAGGAGGGGAGGGGGCGCGGGGCGGAGCCGGCCCAAGGGGAAACCTGGGGGGGCCCCCGCGCCCGGACTAGGCGGCCGGGGGTGGTGGGGGCGCCCCCCTGAGTTCTGAGGCCGAGATCTGGGGGATCCGGACTCTGGCCGCTGGAATGTCCGGGTTCACCGGCAGCTCAGTTCATATTTCTTGTCCTAATGACTCCCCTCCCTTTTCTACTTAATTAAAACCAGGAGAGGGGGCATAGGGGGGCGCATAATTAGGGAGGTCTCCAGCCGCTGCTTAATGAGCCGGTAATTAACTAGCCGGGGAGGGGAGCTGGCCTCGGGCCAGCCCGGAGCGCGGCCTCACCTTCCTCCCCTCTACCCCACGGCCCCAGACACCAGGCTTCAGGCTAGAGGCGAATCCGATTTATTCATAAACCTGAGGACAGACACACAGCTGCCGCGGGGAAGGCGGATGGGCAGGGCTAAGGTCCATTCACAACCCCCGGGGCCCCTCAATCCCCGGAGGTAGCACAGCGGCTCATGCTCTGCTGTAGGTCCTTCCCCAGGTCCTTACCGGGAAGGAGTGTGGAATGGGCTCACCCGTCAGGCCACACCTGAGATCCGCAGTGGGAGGCTGAGGACTGAACCCGCAGACCCTCAGCCTGACTTGGGGTGGCCCCACCAGGACCCACGACCCAGAGTCCCCACGGCTGTCAGAGAAGGGGTGGAGGGTCTGGACAGCCGAGGTCATCCTCTGGGGCAGGCTCCCAGGGACTCGGCAAAGAGTCTATCCTACCTTGACACTTCCTAGGGCCTATCCTATCCTATCCTATCCTATCCTATCCTACCTTGACACTTCCTAGGGACTGAGGCCTCTCACCCCCTCCCAGTCCCCGGGGAAAGTGGGTGAGGGTGATGACTGGATTCTGTTGGGTCTTCCAGCATCTGGCACCCCTGCCAGGCAGGGGTTGGGACAGGCTGTCCAGCTTCGAGGCCCAGATTTGTGGAGAGGTCTCAAATCTCAGCAGGTGTGTGCCGGGGGCTGGGATCTTTGCTCCTCCATCCGGCCCCCACCCTGAACTCTCAGCAGCAACTCCAGGAGCTCCTGGCCCCCTGGGGGCAGGGGTGGTTCTGAGCGCTGGGCTTCCATCCGCTGGCACTGGAGAGGAGGGACCATGGGGCTTGGTGAGGGTCGAGGGCAGTCCCTGAGGGAGCCAGGGCTGGTGTGAGAGCATGCAGGACATCTATGATGGGGTGGGACTCTAGGGCTAGGGTGAGAGGGCACGCAGCCTGGGGAGGAGGTAGGACCCCATAAAGAAGAGGGGTCTTGAAGCCTGAATCTCGTGGTGGCAGTGATCACGGCTTGGGTGGAAGCAGGAAATCTCACCTGGTGACTGAGGATGGTGCTGTAGAGCTGTTCTCTGTCCTCAAGAGGCCGGGGTGGGGCTCGCACTAGGTTCGGGGGGCTTGGGGGAGCATGGAAGGTGGCCCTCTGCTCCTCTAGGCGGCGGGACTGGGCCTCTGCCACCAGGTCCAGGAGTTGCTCAGTCTGCAGGGAGAGCAGGGAGGCCGAGCGGGGCGCCAGGACTGGGGAGCAGAGAGGGGCACTCAGAGACCGAGGAGTCAGCAGGGGCACAGAGGAGGTGATGGTGGGGAACTGGATGAAGAATAGGGAAGGGCACAGCTAAGGAGGGGAGAGGATGTAGAGTTCAAAGTTGGGGAGAGGGTCCATGATGGATTGATTGGGACCTAGGAGAGGAGTCAAGGGATGAAGATGTGGGGACCAGTATCAGGGAGATCCCGGTGTGTGTGTGTAGTACCTGTTTGGCGGGTTCCTCGAGGAGGGGATGGAGGAGCAGATCGCCAAGGCCGAGTGGTGGGGCTCACAGGGGGCCAGCCATGCTCATCCTGATGGGGCCCCTGAAGTGAACAGACAAGCGTTCTAGCCAAGCCGGGTGGAGTGGGCAGGGGGCTAGACCAGCAACCTATTTCCTCTTTCTGTGTCCCTCTTCCTGCTCAAAACCCTTCCCAGGCCATGGTCACTCGGTGTCCCCCCACAGGTCCTCTCACCTCCTTCCTCCCTACCGCCAGCCACCCACATCCCCTGCCCAGCTCACCTGCTCACCATCTTCTTCCTGGGGTCTCTCAGCCTCCATCCCATGGAGGGGAGAACCTGGAGGGGGCAGGGGAGCTGGGATTTGGGAGGAGGACCGGATCCCTGGGTTCCTGAGGGGAGTGGGGGCTGGAAAGGGGTGGGGGTGAACCAGGGGCTGGATGCCTGGGTACAGAACAGGAAACTCAGTTCCTGGTCAGCCCCCCATGGGCCCCGCCCATCCCTGTCAACTTCCTCCAGTTCTCTTTCCCACCCAAACCGCTTGCTTGCTGGACCTCTCTGGACCCCTGTGGAGCACAGAGACTGGGAAAAGCTCCTCCAGCTGCTGTAGTGTGGGATTCCTGGTGGGAAAGGACTAAAGGCCTCATCTCCAGAGATTCAGTAGCCCCCCAGCCTGGGCTGTGTTCCTTCCAGTCCCCTCCTCCCCTTCAGCTGTCAACACAGGAACTAGCTATACAGGAAGTGGTTTCACTCCTCCAACAGCACCCCCCTCCTGCACCCCCCCCCTCCACAGTCCAGGTTCCTTTCCTCCCTAAAGCCACCCTGATGTAGGTTTTGGCTCACATCAGCCTCCCAGCTTGCCTCTCACTTATTGGGACTGGCTCCAGTGGGAAGCATAAAATTCAGAAATGGCAGGTCCTCAAATATATTAGTATATTCTAGTTCTGATTAGTAAGCAATCCGTATTATTTAAATGGTTATCCCTGCTCTCCAAGTAGGCACCTTCCATCAGGGAGGTAAGATCTGCACCAAGTCCAAGAAGAATAAGCAGAGAGCGCCCATCTGGTCATGAATGAGGGATATAGTGTCGGGAAAGGGAGGACTATCTCCCTGATTTGGTCTTTAATGAGTGCTGGTCAGTCTCACTGGCACTAGGGTGAGATGAAGGTAGACTTATTAAGACCAACGGGTGGGGCAGGGAGATAGTACAAGGGTTAAGGCACTTGATTGCATGCGGCTAACCCTGATTCAACCCCTAGTACCACATATGGTTCCTTAGGCCCACAGTGACCCCTGAGCTCTGTGTGTGGTCCAAACCACCCTCTTCCCCTCAAGACTGATAAATGGCAACCTGTCATTTTAGGTTTATTTATAACGTGACTTGGAGCATGGAATATGAAGAAATGTTTTTTCTACTTGAAATTTTGGCAAATAAAATCTCTGCATTGTTTTCTGAAAGTGTTTTTTCTTTTTTTTGTGGGGGTGACTTCCAGAGCAGTGCTCAGCAGGCCTGTGGCCCACTCCCAGTGACACTCAGCCAACAAGGTTGGACAGTTTAATGCTGGGACTAGTGACTCCGTTTTGCTCAGTGGTGTTGGCGCCTCCAGTGATGCTTGGGGACTCAGGACTTTAGCTGTGTTGTAGGGGTGTCATGCAATGCTGCAGATCAAATTTACTTAGGTCCTTGTGCATGTAAGGCATGTACCCTTGGCCCCTGAGCTATCTCCCTGCACCTCAACAGAGCTTTAATAGTGTCTGCTTTATACAGTTGATGTGGAGTGAGATATGATAAAGTTCATGGTATATATAGTTGAATAAGTGGTAGTTATTAGTTTTCAAAATGTCTTGTTCCAATGTTATCACCTTGAAAAAAGTATAAACAGAAAGGTGAATAGTTTGAGATGTCTTCTCCATCCTTTCTCATTTAATGTAAAGTGCTAGGAGTCTCCTAAGTGGCCATAACTAAATACCCTTGGGAGAACAAAGGATATGCATGGCCTAGTATGTGTAGTTCCTCCCTGAGCTACTGGTTTTGTCTTCAGACAATACCGTAACATGGAACTGCCAAATCTACTTCATCTTGGTCTTAAACTATATTTAAAATTCTTTCGGTTTGGTTTTGGAAAACTCTCTTCTGGATACTATGGGGTTGCTCCTAGTGGTACTAGGGACCATGCTGTTCAGGGACCAAATTCAGGGCTCCAGCGTGCAAATCTAAATCTCACAAAATTCTAAAAGCACTATGCACTTTCATATTTTTTCCAAATTCTACTTCCCAACCCCTTTAAAAAAGGAACACTTCAAATGAGTTTTATTAACAGGTGAAATATTTAGATTCTTAAATAGAGACAGGAGTGGTTGAAAGAATGCTTCATCCTTGCAGTAGTTGGTTTGGGGGTGGGGAGAACGCAAGGAGTCATAAGCTAGTCGGCCTGTAGCACCTACATAGTCCTAGCACATAGCAGGTGCTCAATAAATAGTTATCAGCTGGACAGCGGGGGAGCTATGAGACAGACGGTCCTGTTATTCTACAGGAATAAACATATCCTATATAGCGTTCTTGGTCCCAGTTCAGCATTATATCCCTCACTCCATCCTCTTGCAGCCCCATAATCCCTGGGAGAGGCTGGGTCCTCTTCATCCCATCACCCGAATCCCATTTCCAGGGCTGCAGCTGCTCCACATGGAAGCCGGTGATGGTACTGGTGGGCATTCACTCCTTTGAGAGAGCAGTACATTTATGGCTCATTTTGGGGGCTCGAGGATCTGAAAATCTGGAGTGCTTCCAGACTGCCCGTCATCTAACGGGCATTGATTTTTCAGACCCCCTCCGCGCCAGGTAACCTAGTTTTCACCACCGCTCCCCTTACTGAAGTGTACCACTTGGTGGGCTGGGAGACCCCAAGTAAGTTGAGGCGATCCAGGTTCCGGGGACGGAGTCAGGCAAGGGGGCGGGACCGGCGTGCTGGAGGAGGGGCTGAAGACTCCCCCCAAGGTCACCCAATCGCAAGGCCAGTCGGCAGCTGAGCCCACCCCGCAGCTCCCGGGCGCAACCCCGGAGCTTCCCCGTACCATCGCCGGGTTGGGCCGGGGCTCGCGCATGCCTGCTGAGAATCTCCGGCCGCGCGGGGGCGGGCCTCCCCCGCCGCCTCCTCCTCCTCCTCCTCTTCCTCCCTTCGAGAAGTTCCGGTGCTGCGGGCCGGCCCCGGCTGACAGCGTCCGGCTGCGCGGCGGGGCCCCGCCCCTGGGCAGGGCCGCGGCCCCCGACGCCGAGCGCGCGCGCGGGCACTGCCCCGCCCCGCGGCCCCGCGCGCCTCTCGGCCGCGCCTCCGGGGGCGCCGCCCCTTCCAGCAGCGTCAGCAGGTCCCAGTGGTGGCGCTGGCGGGCGACGTCTCTGGGCGCCAGTCCCGTGTGGTCCCGCAGCCCTCGCGCCGCCCCCAGGCCCAGCAGCAGCTGGGCCACCTCCACCGCTCCTTCGCGGGCTGCCAGGAAGAGGGGCGTCTGCTCCTGGGGGGGAGGAAATAGCCACGGGGTGAGGTCAGGGGAGGAACGGCCCTCCGCGACCCCGCCCGCCCCGGGTGGGCCGAGCCCGGCTTCCGTGCGTTCCGCGGCTGTTTCCTTATTTCGGAGGGGGAGGGGGAGGGGAGCCCGCGACCCGAGCTAACCCTGCCGTCCTGTGCGTCCTTATCAGCTCCGGCCTGCAGGAGGGAGCGGGCGGCCCGGGCGTTGTTCACGGCGGCGGCCCAATGCAGCGCGGTTTTTCCTGGGTGGGGGTGGGGGGTGGGGGAACAGGGAGGTTGTTAGCCCGAGGCTGGGGGCGCCAGACGCCAAGGGTTCCGGTTTCCCAAGGATTCTGGTCTGGGGGGGAGGGCTGCTGGGAACCGCCGGGTCCCTCGGAGACGGAAGCGTTACCGGGGTGACCGACTGGCAGCAGGAAGCATTGCCCTTGGTGACGTCACCGACACGCGGGCGGGACAATGGGGCATTGTTCTGGGGTCGGTGGGACCGGGAGAACACCTTCCATCCCGAGACCTCTCGCTGGCTCATGCTCTCCTTCCCCGGCCTAGTTCCCTTTAGGCTGGGTGTCCGGGTGTGTGTGAGTGTGTGTTTGTGTGTGTGATGGGAGGGAGTGCCTTAGCCTCCACCTGGTTCCTCTGCTGCTCCTTCCTCTTGAGTTTTATCTTAAGCCCCATCAGACTCGACAGATCCGTACCCCATTTATCTCTGGCCCCGACATCTGCTTGGGCCGCAATCAGCTCTTCAACTAGGTCCTCCACTGCCAGGCGAGCGGCCAGCATCAGGGCTGTGGTCCCATCTTCTGTCCTGGCATCCACTGAAGTCTGTCTGTTTCGGAGTAGGATCTGGGGGTCCAAAGTGACTCCAGTTAGGTCAATTTTTTTTTCTTTTTTTTATGTGCAGGCCACACCTGGCACAGTGTTCTTGGGTCCCCAGCAGTGTTCCATGGACCAATGTGTTCTGGGAATCCAACCTATTCCCCCTCTCCCACCCCGGGTCAAACCCAGAGCCTCAAATATGCAAGGCAAGTGCTCTACCGTTGAGTCACATCCCATCTTTGTATTTTTTTTGGGGGGGGCTACCCAACTGCTCAGGATTGTGGGTCTATTTCTGGTAATGCTTGTCTTCACAGTGCTATTTTTGACAGGTGTTCACTTATGGTTGGGGTGGGGCATGCAGTCTACTCCTTTGAGCTTTCTCCGTGGCTTTGCACTGTCATAGCTCTGCACTGTCCTGTTGTTCATCGATTTGCTCGAGCAGGCCCAGTAATGTCTGCATTGTGAGACTTCTTGTTACTGTGTTTGGCATATCGAATACGTCACGGGGAGCTTGCCAGGCTTTGCCGTGCAGGTGAGATACTTTCGGTAGCTTGCCCGGCTCTCCGAGAGGGGCGGAGAAATTGAACTCGGGTTGGTCATATCAACTGCGCGCAAGGCAAACGCCCTACTGCTGTGCTGTTGCTCCAGCCCTCTCCCCAGTCATAGTTTTATTTATATATTTTTATTTATACAATGGAATCCAGGGGTTTTTTTTGAAACGTGCTCTACCACTTGAGCCACATCTCTGGCCACTCATTTTTTTGTGTGCCTGGGACATACCCAGTTTATTCTTGTCTCAGTCCTCAGGGACCACTCCTGGTTGTGTTTGGGGAAATCACATATGGTGCTTAGGACTGAACCTGTAGGCCCCATGCAAAGCCTGTGCCTTATGCCTTACCCATTATACTTTCTCCAACCTTGCCTCATACTTTTCTTATTTTGTTTTTTGGTGGGGGTGCTTAGGGCTTACTACTGTCTCTGCACTCAAGGATCTCTTATGGTGGGGCTTGGGTCCATATGTGTTGTTGGGGACCAAACCCAGGTCAACCACACGCAAGGCAAGCACTCTACCTGCTATACTATTTCTCTAGCTCTCCTCACACTGGTTTTTATTTGGGGGCCACACTGAGAGGTGCTCAGAGGTTTACTTCTGGCTCTGCTCAGGGATCACTCCTGGTGGGCTCTGAGGACCATATAGGATGTCATTGATTTAACTTGTGTAAACCCATGTGCAAGGCAAACGCTCTAACGCTATTATCATTCCGCTCCTACCTCATACTTTTCCCAACCCAGCTGTTCCCCCCTCATTTTCTCAGACCTTCTCTGTATCAAACTCGGGAATGGTTTTGCCATGCGGTGCAGGTTTGCCCACTGAGTTCTGTTAGACCCCACTGTGCACTGACCTGGCAGACCTCCTGAGCATCCGCAGC